CCGAGATACAGGGCGCTCATATTATAAGGTAAGGTTATAAAACCACCATTTAAGATCATTTTAGTGAAAGTTTCATCCTTCAAGGCGTACCATTCACTGCTGAAATACTAAACAACCTGCTTCCATGGCCGAGATACAGGGCGCCCATATTATAAGGTAAGGTTATAAAACCACCATTTAAGATCATTTTAGTGAAAGTTTCATGTTCCTATATCATAGAATTTAAGAACAATGATGAATAAATAATTTTCGAGCAAAATTTAAATGGCCGGCTGAATATATTACCGCAGGAGCCGCGGCCGCGGAATTTAAATGACCACGTCAAAGGGTTAAAGTCCCTCCCGGAGGACTTGTTCCCTGAATTTTTCCGCCCTTAAAAATTCCACGACCTCCGCCGGGTTTTTGAACCCGCGTACCTTGAGTCATGAGGTGGGAACGTTACCCCTAGACTACAGAGGCCACTAAACATAAACTAAATATGACCTACAATAATTCTGCAAGTTCCATGCAACTAAATATGAATTCCAGGAGGGATTCAAGGATAATGTTTTATATGACAGCTGATGATCACTCACTTCAACAGGTAGATCCAACAGCTCACCCATTCTCTTCAGAGTTATTCTTGTGTAGTATTTGGCCATCACACGAATATTCTGCAAAGAACAAAGCAGAAACAATATGAAATAGCACATTTCTAGAGACTGTATCAAGTAATGAGATTTAATGGCTTAATAACTATTTATAATAATCTGTGTTATTTAATGATGTGAGAGATACAAAGAAGATAAGAGGATGGTTAATGTCCATGATATGTATGCAGTGACCGTCTTTTAGTGCACTCAATTTCACTTGTTATTTCACAACATGTTTCTTCACTATAGTGCCATCATCAGGTGCTCCATTTATGTTAATCTATTTCATTACTTGCCATTATGTCATTGTAAAATTTAAAAAGTATTTAAAAATGTTTGTCAATTATAATAAATATTTATATACTAAAACTTGTTAAGATTATTTATCTTATCTGTCCCAATTCTAACACCGCGCATAGTTCCACACTATGGGAGTCATTCCTCTTACTCTCAGTGTATATCGTGTCTCATGTTGTGTGTTCCCTGTTTGGTTGCGGGTGCTGTAATGTTGACAAGTTGACAAGATGAATGGGTAGGGATCAGGTGGGAGCAGTGTGGAATCAGAACACACATCGAGAAAGCAACCTGGCATTTGGCCAGATAAAATGAGGGAAACCCATGACAATTCTGAATCACACAGCCAGAGTAAACACTGTTAATTCTGACTGACTCAATTTGATCAGAACTTCAGGATACAGGCAAGCCACAACATCAATGCAAGGCCCCACATTCTGTGAACTTGGTCCACCACACACTCATACCACCTTAGCCCCTGAGTAAAGTGCCTTCAGCTCCATCCAGCTATACTCAGACATCCACATCTTTACCTGAGACACTATGGGTCATGGTTAAAACAAAAAGGGTGAATGATCCCAATGCTCTACTAAATACCCAAGTTTACTGGCACTCCACAGCTGTATTTAATGACACAAAATCAACTACAAAGAAATCATAATTACTTCTTCCTCATTCTTCCCACCAATAAAACATCTACAGCAAAGATAAAGGCTAATAAAACAGAAGCAGCAAAAATATGCCACATTCTGTAGGAAGAAGTCTGCAAATACACATTAAAGTAGAGTATGGTCTATGATCACTTGGTCTCTGACATTAAGGGAGGAACATAGACTCAGGGTGTTAAGGAAAATATTTGGACCGAAGAGGGATGAAGTGACAGGAACCTGGAAAAAATGCATAATGAGGAGTTTCATAACTTCTACTCTTCTCCAAGTATAATTAGAATGGTCAAGTCAAGGAGGAGGTGGGCCGGTCATGTAGCTCGAATGGGGGAGACATGGAATGCATATAGGATATTGGTGGGACAGCTGGAAGGAAAGATAGCACTGGGAAGACCAAGGCGTGGGTGGGCAGACAATACTAAAATGGATTTCAGAGAGATAAGATGGGATGGTATTGAATGGATTGATCTGGCTCAGAATAGGGACCAGTGGAGGGCTCTTGTGAACACGGTGATGAACCTTCGGGTTCCATAAAATGCTGGAAAATTCTTCAGTAGCTGCAGAATTGGCAGCTCCTCAAGAAGGGCTCAGCTCCATGAGTGAGTGAGTAAGTAAGTAAGTAAGTATGGTCTTTGATCATATATTTATAGCCTTATACTCACGTGTTCAACAACCCTACTCCTCAAATCTTTCCATCTCTTCTGCCCTTCCTCAGTGTCTGGATTGAAAACATCTGTTGCCTTGCATTTGGCAGAACCCTGCTTCAATTCCTTTTCATAGATGTCACATAAACCTGACCACTTAATCAACTCTGGGTTGATGAACAAACGCAGTAACTCTCTACAGAAATAGACAGTAAGATTGGTGATAACAAATATTTGCAATTTCCAGAAAAACGTTATGTCATGAACAAATGTTGCTTATATTCTTTTGAATACTTCCAGTTAAATACAGAAGCTAACAAATTTATAAATGAAATATTTCAGGTTATACAGAACTGTGTCAATTCTATGTATGTCACCACAAGTACATGCTTTAAATATTACAAAATGATTAAAGATAGATTAATTACATTAACCCTTTATACAATTCTGGAAAATTAGATCAGCTTATGTATCCTTGCACTGAAAGTGCCACAGCCAAAGATGCTGACATACCAGTAATCACTTAGTATAGTATTTCTTACAACAGAGAACATCAAGTATGATATATCACGGCTCAGAGCAAAGAAAATACTTTTATATTATCTACATCTGAGGTCTTTTTAAGGAAATCTGAGTATGGATTTTTCTGCACAAAATGTATATAATCCCAAGCAACCCTGGCATCTGTAGCAGGCAGTTCTATGGCAGGGCTTTGAAGTCAAAGGGTTAAGTATCTTCATGCTGTCTTCCTGAGCATGAACACAAATGGTAGCTTCCCCACTTTACCTACCACCAGTGTGGGCTGCTTCTACTGCCATCTTCCACTCCTCAAAACCATCCCCCTTCCCTTATCAGTCAAGCAGGGTATGAAGAAGAGTTAGTAAATAGGTCATAAACGGATATAAAACGTAAAACATGTGATATCTGAACCTGGAAAAGACATTTTTTCTCACCATATCTTCCACCAATACTGATACACTTGTCCCATTACTCTACCAGTGCACCAAAACCCACAGCACAGAAGTCTTTACGGAGACGAACCCTACTGAAATGTTTCTTGAGCTTCTTCAAAGTTTCTCTGCTTTGAACACATGTCACTCATAGTAAAGTAAAGCTATCCCTGTAACAGGCCATGAAGGCCCATAGGGTTGTGAGACGTTAAGGGTCCCACACTATCTAGACAATTGGCTCAAAGTTGGCGGTAAAGTTGTCAGCCCTACGCACCGGTTGCCCTTTACTCCCCAGGAAAATTATTTATTTAATACCTGGTACTCATTTCTGTTAGAGGCTGAGGGAACCCCAGGTCCATAGTGCGGCCGGAAGGATTAGGTCAATTGAAAAAATCCAGTGACCTCATCGGTACTTGAACCCGCAACCTTCCGACTTGTAGCATAGTGCCTTAACCACTACGCTACCGCATGCCCCTGTAATATTGGCAAGGTAAAGCTAATGTTATCCCTGTGCTTAATTAATTAAGCATCATGCCATGATGACATGTGTAAGTGGAGGTATAACTCCACCAATCTTGACCTTGGCACTAAATTCATGTAAGTGGTCAACTTCACACTTTACCCCAAGGAAAGAACCTCTGGTATGCAGTGTATAGGAGGTTGGGTGTACTCCAGTGCCAGTCTGGATGCTGTGAAGAAAGAAATCTCTTGCACCTGCCAGGAATTGAATCCTGATTCCTTGACAGTCCAGTCTGTAAGGCTGGGACCACACGAGCACACAAAGTGCGTCCGTTGCAACAAACGTACTTTATAACGGACGTTGCTGAGGACACCACACGGTTGCAGAATGCAGTGCATAGTTTTTTGTCTGCAATGGAGCAAGAAGAAGGCGTAGCATTCGCCTCTCGTTTATTTCTACAACAGACGTCACGACCTGCACTACAATGGACGCATTTTGTGCACTTGTGTCGCCCCAGCCTAAGTTGCTATACTAACTAAGCTATGCCAGCTCTAACAAGTGAGGGGTATAAGATATATCTGTAGAGTTACAGGAAAGAGGATTAAGTTATTAAATGTCACTTTTCAGCAGAACACTTAAACAACTATAGTCTTTTGCACAGTAAAGTTTCAAACTAATATTTCATTGTGTCACTAAACAAAGCATATGATGCTTAGAGAAAACCTGGTTCTTACTCCATCCTTTTAATAAGGGAACTATGTGATATACTTACATCATTTTGACAAATTCTTTATCTGACTCTCTTTTCTGTAACACCACTTTTCTTCACTTTTCTTGAACACACAGCATTAAACACTTCAGCGCGTTGGCCAGCGATGAACAGATTCAGCTTCTAGCTATATCTACATATGTTACATAAGGCATGCTACTGCCCATCTGTACTTACTTGTACATAGGTATCTCCTCCAACAGCTTGTCTTCGAGTACGCGGTGTGTGAGATCAGCCTGTTCGTTGTCATATGGGGCTAACACCAAGTATAATACCACATTCTGCAGCACCTGGTGGCGCTGGGAAGGATCTTCTTGGACGGATGGCGTGTTTAGAACTGCACGGTAGTGTTTGCATGTTGCCAGGTATGATCCTTCATGTTGATCAAGCTCAATCATCAACCTCACAACAAAGGCATTTTAAATTCACAAACAAATTCGTACATACAACAATCCAAAAGTTAGAAAGTTGTTTCCTAGTTTTTAAAAAAAAAAGATGAATAATAAATGCCCACACAGTTTCTAGTTACCATCAGAAAGCAGGACCCCACAACATGTTTCTAAACTTTATATACAGTTCATTTTGTCATAAGAGTAAAAAGGGTAAATATAAAAGTACCTGCATGTCAATTTATGTAGATTTAATTCATAATCAATCTTCAACACTTACCGATAAAATTTCAGTTTTAAATCCTGTGTTCCGTCATCTTCAAAAAACTTTGTGTTGATTTTCTTGGATATGATCTGTGTTCGGATATAATCTTTCTTGGCAAGGCAAAGACGGATCTGTTCCAGGATCAACTCAACCTGTTTGCAGTCAGAATATATAAGCATTCTAAGAGTAAAATCAATATTTAGAGGGTGGCTCAAGGCCAACCAGAACTTTATCTTTTTTACTGGTGACATGGGCACGCAATAGCATAGATGGATGAGGGGCTATGCTACAAGCCAGATGGTCACGGGTTCAAGTCCCGATGAGGTCATTGGATTTTTTTCAATTGACCTCAACCTTCCAACCGCACTATGGCCCTGGGGTCGACTCAGCCTCTAACAGAAATGAGTACCAGGAATCAATTAAATGACTTTCCTGGGGAGTAAAGCGCAGCCGACACGCAAGGCTGACAACCTTACGGCCATCTTTGAGCCGACTGTCTAGATAATGTGGGACCCTCAACATCTCACAACNATAAATTTGCTGTTTAGGTTGACTGAGTTGTGAAATTCTGTTTCGGCCCCGGGCGCATTCTGAAGGGGGAAGAGTGCCCTCGCGACCTGATGAAGGTTGTATCGAGTCGCGAGGTTAAGCTTGGTACATTGAATGGTTTTGTTTGTTGGCTTGAATAGCCGGTCGCCTTTCAGGCGCGTGAGTATGAATATATAGTTGTATTCCCAGTAAAGTCAAATGGTTGCCATGAGGCGTGCTTATATTTGTGTCTGTGCGCTTAGCACAGAGTAATTCTGTATTAATTGAGAGAGAGAGTTTTGACCAGCTACTGCCCATCAGGCAGGGTCACCTGTAAAGTCAAATGGATGCCATGAGGCGTGCTCATATTTGTGTCTGTGCGCTTAGCCACAGAGTAATTCTGTATTAATTGTGAGTGTGTTTTGACCAGCTACTGCCCCTCAGGCAGAGTCACCTGTATCCCTTGTTATCAATATACACATTTATTTATATGTTAGAAACGCCTGCAGTATTTGTGTATACTTGGGTTGTGTGGTTTCCCTGCTAGTTCAGGCTAGCAGATCCGTCCAGCTTGGCCCATTGTGCCGACTGTGGTTTTCCTCTCCCGAGATCCCCTGCTCGACCTTGGGGAGGCATAGTGCACCACGTGCAAGCAAGTCGTCTTATGAGCCTGTCCCTTGCCCACAGTGAACACGAGTCCATGGGTTAACTGGGTAGGGGAACTGGGTTCCCGACCCGCATGGTCAAGGGACATACGGCTCAGGGGCTTCACAACCTCTTACAGGGATAGCTTTACTTTATTTACTTTTACTTTATTGATGACATGGGCACCAGAAACATAAAACTCTTTTATGGACCGCTGGTGGCAAACCTGCACTCAGTGCACAGTGGGTGGCCACGTGTACCACTTCTGTACAGAGCTAGTACAAGATGGTGTCAGACTTTGTCATTCCTGGTGCAGAACAGCGCTGTATCATCAAATTCCTGGTGAAACAGATGGTGAAACTAGCAGAAATTCTTCATAGGTTAAATGCACAGCATGGGGAACAGACCCTGTCACATATAAGTGTTGTCTACAATTGACATAACAAGTTTTCTGATGGCTGTAAACAAATCTCGAACCTACCACAAGATCACGTTCAGTCAACAGTTATGTGTGATGTAACATTCACCATGTCAAAGAGCTGATTTTGGAAAACAGCTGAATTCCAGTGCATGATATTGCTTCTCACAGTGGCATAAGTATTGAAGTGCTAAAACATTTATCCACAAGCACTTAGTGTTCAAGAAAGTGTATGTCCAGTGACTCCTAAAGACGTTACTGTTCAACCACAAGCTGCAGAGTGTGGCTGTGTCTGCTGAACATCTGCAATGGTGTGAACTACAACAAAACACACTCCTAGAGCGAAGAGTGACCTGTGTTGAGATGTGCAGGCATTATTCCACTCCAGAGACAAAGTGATCCAGCATGAAATGGCACCACAAGGGATCTATACCACCCAAAAAATTCAAGACATAATTATCAGCTGGTACAATCAAAGAAAGTGTTTTGGGATTCAGAACTAGGTATTCATTTTGATTTTCTTCCATATGGTTTAATTGTTAATGCACAGTATTTACAGTAACTTGTTCTTCAATGATGTGCACCAAGCAGTTCAGAAGAAAATATCTGGAGAACTACCAAGAAAGGCCATCTTGATGATATCTGTTCACATACAGCAAACTTAATAAAGGTGACATTGGCAACAATACACATGAAAATCATGAACCTTCCTCCTTATAACCCTGACTATGTTCCCAAGGATTTTCATTTGTTTGGGCCAGTGAAAGTACACACAGGACAAAAAGTTCGAACTGATGATACTCTCAATGCAGTGTCCTGAACTGATGATGCAGTCAGGAAGAAACCTTTCATGCTGCTGGCATTAGTAACTTCCTAGTGCTGTGCAATGCGCCACATACAAAAGACGGCAAGTAGAAAGGAATGAAAGTATGACGCAAGCATTTATTTTCTTATTAGAATTCTATGACATAAACGTCTGCTTTCTGCATTGATGTCACACTAAACTTTAGTATACTGCAATCTGTATCTATGATCTGGTAGTCTCAAGAATTCCCAAGATAGATTTGGTACAATAACATGTAAGATTTCAGGTTTTCACAGCAGTGACTATGAAGAATACCATCTTCTGAGATGTGGCACCATGTAGATCTTGTGTGAAAGAATGTTTCAGAGCAATGTATCACCTCCATCTTCAAGGCAGAAAAATCCACAAGCAAGGAACCAGCATGAGTAGGTGCTTAGTGGATTTCCATCTTCAAGGTAGAAAAATTCGCAAGCAAGGAACCAGCATGAGAAGGTGCTTAGTCGATTTTTCTACCCTTAAGATGGAGGAGATGCGTTCCTCCAAAACGTCAGTTCACAAAAGATCTATATGGTGTCACAACTAAGATGACAGCGTTCAGTACAATAACAGATTATATTTATTTCCTGAGATAACACTGTTTCACTGTACACAAAAAGGACATAAAATCCAATCCTTCCTAAAAATATTCAGTTATTTGATCATTCCAGCAAAAAGACTGAATAGGGAATTTCAATGTATTAATGACAAACTACAAGATCTGATAGCGGCCTCCATAGTCTAGGGGTAACGTTCCCACCTCATGACTCAAGGTACATGGGTTCAAACCTGGCAGAGGTCGTGGAATTTTTAAGGGCGGAAAAATTCAGGGAACAAGTCCTCTGGGAGGGACTTTTAAGCCGTGGGTCCCGTGTCATAGCTTTACGGCATGTAAAAGAACCTAATGTCTCAAGGAGACCTCTGAGCCAAATTTGTAAGGACATTTCCTGCCCAACAATAGTCTCTAATGCCTCTGGTACATGGGGGAAGCATCTAGATACCGCTGAAGCAGTTGAGGCTGTACTCACTGGCTGAGTCGGGACTGATGGCACACACCAGTATTGGTAGGGTATAGAGACTGGTAGAATATCACAGGGGGACGTACAATAAATCAAACTGGTCACGGTGCATGGGGAAACCCACCCCCTCCAATAATAATAATAAAACAAGATCTGATGTCTCAAGAAAGTGCTGTTCTTGGAATCCCTAACACATTAAGATAGAAATGACAGCATCTTACCTTCTCTCGTTTCTCCATGGAACCATAAGTTTCAACTTGCAGTTCCTGTATAATGTTTGCTGCTTCAGTAATGTTTCCTTCCTCTTCCTTCAATTTTGCTAATTTGTGTGTTAAACGAGCTCTTTCCACTTCAACATAGATCTGAACATGAAAATAATACACTCTAAGTACATAACTTTAACCTCTTGTCAGACTGTGTGGAATGCAAATCATGTTTAGAATGCTAGAATGAAACACTCAGATTGTAACATTACAGTAAAAAATAAATTATTGATGGTTAAGTGAAGATTGCAGTATTAAGAGTCCTCTCCCACAAGACAGGGTGAGAGTAGTTCCACATCCTGCACAAGGACTACTCACTGGTTATACTACTTTCAGTTTTATTACATTGGCATATGAGGCCTCACAAACATGCACTTTTATTTTAAGTTACTCTAGTCTTTACCTTCCCTTCTGTGACACTTCTCAATGTGTCAATCAATTTAATTTTTGTATCCTTGTCTGGTGTTTGGTCAACATAAGTACAACATTCTTGAACCATTTTGGCTACAGCTTGCTTCAGCTGACTTCGACGTTTGGCTAATGAGGAAATATGCTCATTAAGGGCATTCCAATTTTTTGCTTCATAGCAGATCTGTACAATTGCTACCAACACCTGGCCCGTAGATCTCATGTCTGCGCCCTGAAAAATCAAAGTGAACAATGTTTGTGCATTACACATACAAACTCTCTGGTTACACATTAAAGATACACAACGAATATACAACTCACTGTTCTAGTCTGCTTCTCAAGAGCTAAAAGTATATCAAGTGCATCATGTATTTTCCCCTCCTTTGCCAACTTTTGGCATTCTGGTATTTTTTCATCACATGTTGAACTGTAGTCAACTTCCATCTTCACTATACGACCAGCATCTGTAGTTGCATTTTCTGCCATATTGTGTAACAGTTATTTCTCCTGAAACATAATAATTCAACTTTAAAGGTCAGAATACATAATGACTACATCTGAGAACGACAAGCAACTTCCTTCACACAAATAAGCCTTCAAGTGAATATGGGAAAACGGCAACCTATGCAACATATACCTAGGAACACCGGATTAAAGGTTATGACGGTACGATCTACCAAACCATCTAATTTACACAAATATCAAAATTACATGTGGCCATCAAAATAATTATCCACGTTCCCTTGTTAATCAAATTCGCCTGTCATCTTCCCTTCAATTCTCCAATCTACGTTTCGCCCACAACCGCTCTCAAGTACGAACCTATCCACCTTCTCGAATCTGTATTGCTGCCTTATTTTCCGTTACCTGAGTTAACTTATCAATTATGCTCTAAAATTAATATAAAAATTGTGAATAAGTAAATACTTCTTATTATCCTCACCTTCCTCTTCACAAAACCTCCTACCCCTCTTAAACAGCCTACACGTTACTGCTCCGTCCTGGATTCTCCGATTGTACCAATCGTACCAATCTCGTCACTGATCATTTAAGGGAATTTGGGGATATTTCTTGAACATTCTTGGGAGTAGGGACATTGTATTCGAAGCTTATAAATTGAGCATCCAAGCATATTTCTATATATTCATTTTCTCTGTAATTATTTTATGGACTTCATGTTACACTCAAATAATTTATTCTTTATATCTTCAAGAGAACGTATGTCTTGTGGGTTAAATATAACCGCAATACAGAAATGTCAAGTAATGTAGGGAATTTGGATCTTCGTACAAGAGATGAGCATCGCATTACAAATGAATCTGTTGGATTTCTGGTTAGCACAGCACTGGTTACGAACAGTTCTGTCTTCTGACACATAACATGGCAGAGTCCCACGAAAGTTAACCGACGTTTAGCAGGAACAAATCGCCATCATCTTCTGGTTCGAAAAGAAAGCCAAGAAAGAAACCAGCACAAGTAGCAGGCTCTTGCTTCTACTTTGTTTACTATTCGACTCTGAACATGAAGGCTACATGCTCCTCTGAAGCTATGAACCCCGGGACTCTCACTCACCGAACTACAACCAACAATTCTGTACTCATTCAGTGCTGCCGTCATGAGGTCATGAGAACCTCAAATCCAATTCCTTCACGTATGTTCCACACAAAGAATTTTCTTCGCCATTTTGCGTGGTTGGCAGTATGTCTGATTGCGTCTCAGCGAATAGCGTTTTACGTATATACAGTAGTTTCCTGCTGTGCCATCTCAAACCTCGAATTAAATTTTAACACCTCTTTATTAAATCTTCGTGTTAAACGCTCATCACAGCTTGCGAAGTACGAATATTTACAAAATTTACGTTAACGCANTTGTTAATTAAATTTCGTTGTTGATATACTTATTAATGTAGTTCTGGAAGAATATCATATGTGTTTGTAATTCGCAATGAGCAAGTACATGTATTCTACAGCTAATTTGTCTGATAAAGAATTGAAAGATCAAGGAAACAGATTGTTTAGCTTGAAGAAATACGAAGATGCAGTGTCGTGCTACACAAAAGCCATTGTACGTGCACCAATTTTTGTGTGTTTGACCATTTGTGAACTGTATATTTTTTACACGGAATGTATTAAATGATTTCGATAGCTTAATATACCGATCTGCATTCTCAAGGTCGCCGAAATATAGAAGTGGTTGAAACCACGGATGTAAAGTTTACTTCATTATCAAGATTCGTTGTTCGTAATTGCAGATTAAAAACCCCAACATGCCAACGTACTTCACTAATCGGGCCCTTTGTCACCTAAAGATGAAACGATGGGAAGCATCATGTCAGGACTGTCGCCGAGCTCTTGACATGGATGCTAATCTGGTGAAAGGTCATTTCTTTCTTGGCCAGGCTCTTCTTGAAATGGATAACTATGATGAAGCAATAAAACATTTACAGAGAGGTAAAAACTCCAGTTTTAAATCACAAATAAGATATTTCCATGTCAAAGTGACACTTGGAGCATTCAACATCTTTTGAATATTTATATGGTAGCTGTACAGTGTTTAAATGTCCAGCACACTTTTTACTAATTATTTGCAGAAGGAAAGATTGCAGGTTACATTAACGATAACGATAGTGTAGAATAAGTTTTAAGAACTCTTCATTGAATGCATGGATGCTTTATAATGCAATAATATCAGATTCCTATCATGAATGTGAGCCCTGTTGCTTCACATTGAATTTATTATCAAATATAAAGAGAGATTTCTTCTTCTGTGTGAGTACTATCTCAAAGAGGGGACCTTTTTGTTAATGTGTTAATCTGCATGTTCAGAAGAATGCAATCGTATGACACTCATTCAATATGACATATTATGGTATACAGTACAAACTGAGATACATTGTCTTTCCCATGGAAATCTTCATATTACTCTGAACAATGAATTACAACAGTGAATGCTGGACTCTTTAGACAGACTGTAGGTAATTTATTATACAGTTCAGTGTCAAAAAGAAATCCTTAATACACAAGGGTGCTGCTTATTCCAGAATGAAAGCATTTTCTGTGAGGTTTTATATTAAGGTAATAGAGCCCCCTGCTTGGAGATTTTCTAATAAAAGTGCCAAATTTGTGATCCTGGTTACTGCAGCCATAATATTAGTGTATTTCATAGACATTGAAGATGTAACTGGAATGTAACACTGTGCAGTAGTGTGGTGCAAATTTATCAACATTTCAGAGGAATTTTCAGAATGGAACACTTGAGGTGCTATGTTCCTCCGAAATGTTGGAAAGCATCTACCACACAACATCACATCCAAGAAGGTAATAACCTTCATAGCCACTGCCATAAGAACCTCAAATATTGTATATCCCATGTACAGTGTTCTCCTGTCCATATACAGAGCGACCCAAAAGTCACTTAACCAGTTAGTAATATGTACACTGAATACATTAGTACTTTCTTTATGACATGCTGAATATACAAAATTGTCCAAAATGAGGTTGTGTTCAGTGCATAACTCACAATGCATGCAGCAGACTGATATCAATGTTAACAGGTTTAAAGCTTAACATTCCCATTAAAATGAGAACATATTTTAGGTTAATTGACTTTAAGGATATCCTGTATATCATGTATGAACAAATTTTAAGCAACTTAAACTTCCAAAACTATTATCCGTACAGGATTTCAACCCATACTTCTCTTTCAAAAAAGTAAAATGTTCACTTTACACTTTACTTACAGAAGAAACATGATATGCTGTAACACTGGTGCTCTTATATCTTGAATTTAAATGTGTCACCATAAATAGCAGTGGCAGTTTTACGTATTGCTTCTTTGCACAAGGTAGAGATAGTGTCCTTGTACGAAAACAACATGCCTTGAAGGTGTATGATGAGAAGTCATGTTTTAATTATCACCATGAGAAAATCACAATTCCAAAATATCATTCTGTACAGGAGATAGCCCATTTCCTGAACTTGCTGAACAGTCGAATTTTCCTGCACCAAGTGGACAGAGGGACCCACGGGAAAGGGCAGAAGCAAAATGGCATCGTCAGTTGAGAAAGTGGAGGCTCGCGCTGTGATACAGTTCCTGCATTTGCAATGGAAGTCTGCCAGGGAGATCCACGACCAGATGACTGCTGTGTATCAGGAAGGTGTACCATCATGACACAGTGGTCAGGTGGAAGAGGTGCTTTCATTGTGGACAGACAAATCCCGAAGTGGAAGACCATCTCTCGCTGAGGACCCAGGAATTGTGGCACAGTTGGAAGCTTTGATCCTATCTGATAGGCACATAACTATTGAAGCTATTGTTCATTAGGTCCGCATTAGCCACAAGCCCGTTTTCAACATCATCCATGACGAGTTACACATGACAAAGGTTGCTATGTGTTGGGTGCCACGATTGTTGACACCAGTTCAAAAACAGCAATGGATGGATGTGGCAAAAAAACTTTTGCAGTTGTGCAAGACGAAAAAGAGGAATTTTTCGACCACCTGATCACGATGGATGAATGTTGGGTCTATCATTATGACCCTGAAACAAAGGAAATAAGCAAGCAGTGGAAACATGCAGACTCGCCACCACCAAAGAGGGCCAAATCCCAGCCATCGGCAGGAAAGGTGATGTTGAGTGTGTTCTGGGATCGGCGTGGGTGTCATCATGACTGACTACGCACAAAAGGACGTCACCATCACTTCCAAGTACTACTGGAACCTTCTGAGTAAATTACGTGAGGAAATCAAGAAAAATCAACGTGGAATGCTGGGAAAAGGTGTGCAACTTCTTCACAACAGTGCACCAGCTCGTGCTGCTCATGCTACGACGATGACTGCTGCCAGTTTGGGATATGAAATTCTCCACAATCCACCATATTCACCTGACCTGGCACCGAGCAACTTCTTCCCCTTTCCACAGCTAAAGAAACCACTTCGTGGTAGGCGATTCCAAGATGATGATGATTACATTATTTCTGCAGTGGAGGACTTCCTAAGATCAAAGTATCCAGCAGCTAATGCATTGTTGGGGAAAATGTGTGACCTTGCAGGGGGCATATGTAGAGAAGGAGTAACTCTCATACAATTTCTTACACCTGTGTTTCTGTTTTTTCTGGGTGATAATTAAACTTTTATGATTTCCCCGCATATATGGGCAAGAAGGTAAAGCTTCTTATATAGGTCTTTGCACTGGATTGAGGTGAATTGTCATCTTCATATTCTAGCAGCTTCTCTAGAGTTAAAGAACTGTTACCTATTGGACAGGAGACTGAAACAGAATGAGATGGCACAAAGGATTCTTGTCATTACTGAAACTGAGCCTCAGCTGCCCAATTGCTGAGCCATCGCGATACCTGCATTGAATTCCAACATGGATAAACAATCTTTATAAGGAAATATATATTTATGGCATATATGTATGTCCAACTTTCAGTGGAACGCTATATATGTGTGGAGTTTGCCTAACATCATGTTTCTTTACATAAAAGAACATTTCAGAAATGGCTTCTTTCTTGTCTCTAGGTAGAGAGGATATGAAGACATTCCTATTCTGTTGGGCCTCTAAGTAAAGCTACTCTGCTGCCCTGAAAAGTTCCTCAGTATTTTACATTCCCTGCTCACTTTAATCCTCTTAGGTTGAAAAACTTCCCTTGGTATTTTGCTTGCAAGTACTTCATAATTTATGTCCTTCCTTAATATAACGATAAAAAACAACACAGCACGCCACGAAGAAACACAGGACAATGCCAAGAATCTCCTCCTCAAGATAGACAGGCGGCACAAGTTCAGCCCCCATCAAGAAAGACGGTAGGAGAAGGGACACGAACCTACTTGGTATATAAATATTATCTTAAATAACAAAGTTTTAAAAAACTTTAATATACCAAGAAAGCTGCTCTAGTTGTGGAAAAGTTGGATTTTGTGTATACGACTATTTTGCATTACAAACAATGTATGTATATGTGTCAACACTCCAAACACCCATTGTGATAGTAGTTTCCAAAAAAAAAAAAATATATATCTATGTTCCCTCTGATGATGGGCTATAAAGACCGAAACATGTAAGGGCGTCGAGTTTTCAAGTAGTAAAAACTCCATTAGTCACACTGGATGGAGTTGTTTTTTCTTTGTCTTTGTAAAGATAAAAATATGTTAAAGAATCTTCAAGTTAAATGTTATTTATGCGTCTCGCAATATTGTAGCCAAATGGTAGGTTTAGGACCAAAATATGATCTCTTATTGACACCAGGGCTGCTTTGGATGTAACAGAAAGGAAAAAAAAAAAATCTCATGGAATTGAACCCCAGTCATCTAGTCTGTAACCTGTCACATTACAAATTGAGGTATTATATGCAGGATTTGAGGGTCTCACAGCAGTGGCTATGAAGAGTTTTGTTTTCAGGGATGCTACACTGTGTACTTCTTTTGGACTTCACCCATCATCTGGTATGTAAAAGACAAAAAATCACAACGTTTCAGAGACTGGATCTGTCTCCGTCTTCAGGTGGATAGGGAAGGATAAACCTACTCAGTTGGGCCCCTTAGAAGGAGCTAGTCTCAATCACTGGACAAAACCCGGTCTGTAGAAAAACAACCTATGAACAACCGACAACCGGTTCCATCAGTGGGAGGAAAGAATAAAATCACAGTAAAAACATGACAGAAAATTTGTGCCAAGCATGCACTTGTAAACCATGTAAAGAAACAGAAGTATAGGTTATATTCCAGGAATTCGGTTAAAGACGAAAGTAAAAACTGGAAAATGCATGCCTAATCTGCGTGCATAAAGAATCGTGCCACCATGGCGACTTCCGGGAATCAGACTAATCCACGGAAGAAAACTTGCAGTACTAGTGGAACCACTAATATTCATAAAATTACATTTTTTGATTTGTTAACCTCTTCAATGATGAGGGGGATCCAAATGGGAGAAATATCCAAACTGGGTTGGCTGATCGGATTGGATGAACATGCCATATGAGCTGATTCTTTGTATTTCCTGTATCTGCTGTTGCTTTCAATCTCCAAGGAAGGGATGAAGCTATGATCTTTGAGATTGAAAGCAACAGCACTTTGCANTGTGTAGTCTGTTGAAAATCAACCAACGTTCTGGAGGAATATGTCTTCTCCATTTTCAGGTTGAAGGCAGCATATTCCTGTGAAGCTTGGTGCACTTCTAACGGACCACATGATGTTATAGCCCAGAAAATAGACCTCTTCATGAGGTATCATAGCGCATGTTCATTGTTTCATTCCTGATTGTCATTCATTTATGATCTTGCCTTCCAGCAAATGACTTAGCAAGGGAACAGAAACTAAACTTTGGTGATGACATAGCAAGTCAGCTACGAGCAGCACGGAAAAAGAGATGGAATGTTCAAGAGGAGAAGAGGATAGCACAAGAAATTGAACTACAGGTATTTAAATCCTGATAATATAAAAACACTTCATAGCATGCACTCTAAACAAAGCAAAATTATTGTTTCTCATGGTGAAACTGGCACAAATGTGCTCCCATGTGGTTCCTGGTTTGAAATTAATCATGTAAAGTTTTATACTGTAATTTTGTAATTGTTCCCTTGACTTAAAGCCAGTATGTTCATATAGAAACAGTAGTTCTTTGACAGGGTTACTGATGGCCTTGTTACATTAGGAAGGTGTTGTGTAGTTCTGTCTGCATCACATAAATGACAAATGATATGAAGTGATTATTAAAGTACAAATTTTCAAGCACAAAAGAAAGCCACATGAAATATTATTATTCTCCCAGATATGATGCTGTGTTATATTGTAAATATATTTTGTCTGTGTGTGTCTTATGAAAATTAATTAACATTGGTTTGTCTTTCCAGTCTTACTTAAACAGGTTAATACGAGAAGATACAGAACGCCAAATTGAAAAACTGCGACAAGAAAACGGCAACAACGAATATCAAATACAGGAAAAAATAATAGAATTCGAACAGCATTGTGTATGTAACTTTTATTTCTTATATGTGGTAGCCTGAGAAACTTCCAGAGGATAAGAAAATACAGTGATATTACAGCAGAAGTTGGACCAGGTTCATATATGTCCAACATGTGTACGCTACGTATGTGGTCTGTTCATTATAATTTTTTTAGACATGCCTGCAGCTGAGTGACCTTTATCACCTTCATAATACTCCCCTCCTGCATCGCTCCCAACACCGTTGCCACTTCTGGAAACAGTCCTGGTACATCTTTTTTAGAATCGCGCATAGCTACATCTGCGGATTTTCCATAATCTCTTGTATCGTTTGAAATTGTAGTCCTTTTGAAGTGGATTTCAGCTTGGAAAATAAGAAAAAGTCTTCTAGAGTGAGGTCAGGTGAGTAGGGTGGCTGAAGAAGCACAGTTGTGTTCATGTCGGCCAAAAAGTAATGAATCAGTAGCAATAGATGAGCTGGCACATTGTCACAATGGAGGAACCTGAAGTTGTTTCTCCATAATCGAGGTCTTTTTCTCTTGACATTTTCTCTTAGACATTTCAGCACTTCAGGGTAATACCAGTGATTCACTGTTTACCTGTGATGTATGAATTCATGATGCACAACACCCTCAATGTCAAATAAGAACCGTGAACATAACTTTCACATTTGACCTGACCCGCCACGTCTTTTCCGGTCTCAACAAGTTTTTCCAACCCATTGTGAAGACTGCATTTTCGTTTCCACATTGAATCCATGAACCCATGTTTCATCACTGGTTATAATTCTTTTCAGAAAGTTTTCATCCTCACTAGCACGATCCAAAAGTTCCCGACAAATGGCAACGCAACTGTCTCTCTGATCGTGTGTCAGAAGTCTTGGAACAAACTTTGAAACTACCCGATATGTTTCTGATTTTGTCGTCAGAATGTCATTACATGATCCTATCAATAAGTTGCACTCTTCCGCTGTTTCCTGGACTATTAGACTATCACAAACTTGCACAACATGAGCGACATCACATGACACTGAGGGCCATTCCAAACACCGCTCATCATCTGTTGACTGCCAACTGTACTTTAATCTCCTAAACCATTCATAACGTGTATGTCTCGTGCACTGATCACTATAAACGTTTGTCATTTCATGAGTCTCCATAAATGTTTTTCCTAGTTTGAAGCAAAATTTAACATTAATATGCTGCTCATGAATATCAACCATCTCTAATATCACAAGACACATTACACACACGTGAAAAAATAGCTCTAGGGTGATGACTAATCACAGCAGGATGACGTGGCAGAAAGTTTGATAATTAGGAAGCACGCCGCTAGACAGCCAAACTTACCCGACATTGCTAAAACGTCAAGTTGACACGCTATTTCAGAAGTTCCAAAACTTTTTGAACAGACCACGTATACACAGCAGGATTGTTCAGCTTGTTATGTATAGCAGAATGATTCAGTTGCTGTTAGTGTAGTAGGTGTGACAGGTCCCAGAGGAGGGCACTGTGCCCAGAGGGTTTCAAAGTGTGGAAGTGGTTTGTCTGAAGCAACGGATCAACATCTAATTTTGCCAGTAGTTAACGATAATTTGCAACAGAAACACTGCACATGCTTAGGACTCTTATGTTGTCAACAACACACAAAACATCTAACTCCATAGGGCTTGTTCATTGGTGAGGTGATAGTTCATCTAGTCCAGAAATTTACTGCACTTCGTGGAACCTGAAGGTTCAGCACCATGTTCATAAAAGCCAGCCACTGGTTCAGCCCTGAGCCAGATGAACCCAGTCCACACTCTCCCAGCCTGTTTACATGTTACAAACTTCTACAAAAAACAACTGCTAAATTTGTTTTATGTAGCTTCAGCCTAGGTGTTTAGGAATTGAGATGGGATTATGACAGCTTTTGAACTGCATAACAATCCATGAGACTGTTGAGTGCGTGGATTAACCAGGTTGCATAGTTGAGGTATGTAGTGTTGAACAGTGAAATATATTGTTAGCAGACAAAAATCAACAAGATCAAATGAATAGTAACAAGTCATATGATAACAGGGCCACGCCATAGCTCAAGCGGTTAGTTACTGGCTTCCCACCTCGGCGGCCCGGATTCGATCCCGGGTCTGGTCAAGTGGGATTTGTGGTGGACAAAGTGGCAGTGGGGCAGGTTTTCGCAGAGTACCTTGGTTTCCCATGCCAATGTTTATTCCACCAATTGCTCCACAATCACCCTCACCTATCATCTGGGGCTGGTACAATAGGCCAGAAGTGGCTGCAGTGCAAGGGACCTAGTCCCACCCCACTAGCATTAAAAAAAATATGATAACTGTAGTACATATTTCTGTTGATAGTTAATCTTAAATGGCTGTTTATTGCACTAGTAACTGTACATGAGCAGCATCCATCTGGCTGAGCATTACATTTTTCAACAGTAGTACTGTTATGCCCAAAGTACAGATCTGACCATCAGCCATGTAGTACCAAAGGATTTAAAATCCCTTATCCCTATACAGTAGAGGTTAATCATATGATAGGTCATGCAGTATTATTACTTTTGCAGGCTGTCACACATTCACCATCTTCTTTGACTTTAATTTTTGGTTATTTATTTATGCATTGTCTGCATAGTTAGTATAAGGGCGGCATCACACTAGGATGCCATGGTAGTGACACCAACGATTCCATGGCATCCAGCTGCCAGAAAATTATGATGGTTGGGACTGAATTTCAGTTATAACTCTTTCGGTGTCAAAATTGGACATGTTTGAAGGAAACAGAAATACACGAACGTCAGTGGACTGGCTTCAGACTGTCGTGTGATGTTGATGTGGCCCTTGCCTTCGTGACAGCAATGCCAGCAGCATTAGCCCTTGGCAGCGATGCCAGACAGATGCCAGGTGCGATATATGACTGACTTACTTACTTACTCATGGAGCTGAGCCCTTCTTGAGGAGCTGCCAATTATACAGCTACTCAAGAATTTCCCAGCATTTTATGGAACCCGAAGGTTCGTTACCATGTTCACAAGAGCCCTTCACTGGTCCCTATCCAGAGCCAGATCTATCCCATCCTATCTCTCTAAGATCCATTCTAATATTGTCCACCCACCTATGCCATAGTCGTGCTTGTGGTCTCCTTCCTTCCTTCTTCTAAATTAATACATTGAGTTTGGCCAAGATGCTGACAGCTGCGCCATGGCCTCCCGTTGGCATCCTGGTGTGATACTGCCCTAACAGTGAATGATAGGATGATTACAAACTGAAAAGAAAGCAGATGGAAGTAGTCATTGCGTTGCATAGCTGATCTCTGAGCAAAAATTCAAAGCCTAGGCATCCAGAATATAAAGCAGGAATGCACACGATTCAGTCATGACAGTTCCATCTTCTGTCATACAGACTATACAGAGAGACAAGAAAATATACAAATTTGATAATGAAACCTTATGAACAAAGACTGCTTGGTATAACTCAAATGCAGTCTTATGGCAACAGCACCATTGGACGTATTTGAGCATGTGTATTTATAGGGGTGTTGAATGAATTAGTTACAAGCAGTAAGAGGGTTGAGTTCATTCTGCACTGTCTCCCAGATACATAGGTTGGATAACAAGTATTGGCAATGCCTCTGTAGTTCTGAAATGACTTTGTTACCTGAGGTAAACACACTTACATTCCTTCAATATAATCGCCCCCCCCATGTGTTCCACCTTCTGCCAAATTTGTAGACGTCATCCACTTCTGTTGATATCCAGCAGTAACCCTCCTTCAGCATGAATAATCTCCTCTCTTGTATTGTAACGTAACCCTCGTAGTGGTTCTTTCATTTTGGCAAAGATATCATAATCGCACGGACTCATATCAGGTGAATATGGTGGATGTTCCAGTATCTCCCATCGCCAGCGGAGAAAGGAGATCCTTGACAGCATCAGCAATATGAGCCCTTGCTTTGTCATGAAGGATGATGGGGTTCATTGCCAACAAGTGTCATCGCTTTCTCCTCTGCTGGACGAAGATTATTACGCAGGAAATTGCAGTAGTAGGCAGCATTTACTGTCTGTCGTTGAGGTACAGTGTGGTGCAGTATCACTCCATCAGTGTCATATGCCACAATGAACATTGCCTTCACATTACTCTGTGTAGGGCGAACTTTCTATGGATGAGGAGAGCCAGGATGCTTCAATTCATTTGATTGTCACTTCAAGTGCGGTTCATATGAGTGACCCCAAGTTTTGTCCACAGTGATGATCATTCCAAGGAAGTCATCACCTTCCTTCTGGTACTGGTCCAACAAGTCCTGTGCAATTGCATAGCGTTGCCATTGTTGCACCCCAGACATTGTATGGGGTACCCAACGCGCTGCAGTTTTGCAGTATCCAAGAATATCATGCAGAATGTTGAGCACAGTCTTGTGACATACACCTACCTCAGCAGCTAACTCCCACACAGCCCATCGACAATCGACATCCATCAAAGAAGTGAGAAGCTGAATTGTATGGTTGTCAACATTGGGTCGTCCTGAATGGCATCTCCCCCTTCACAGAACAATTTCACCTATCGTGCCATTGTGCAATATGGCAAAGCAGCATCACCGCATGCTTTTTGCAGTCCCTGATAACAGTTTTGTGCACTACGACCTCGTGCGACTTCAATTTTTATCCAGGAGCGTTGTTCTTGTTTCGTAAACATGTTCTTAGGGTGCTTGAACTGGGCTCCTGTAGTTCAAGACGATACACAGTGCAACTCCACGAAACACAACCAGAGCCACTCACTGCACTATTTCAACTGAACTTCTGCTGTTAGCTACAGATGGCACTAGTACCACCTGACGCACATCTTTCATGTTACAGCAGTGTTGCCACTACTTTTTATCCAACTCTTGTAGAAACGTAAGTAAATAATAAAGGTATCACTGTAATAGGCCATGGAAGCCCGTAGGGTTGTGAGATGTTGAGGTTCCCACATTTTCTAGACATTCGGCTTGTAGATGGTGGTAAGGTTGTCAGCCACCCTTCATCCCCCAAGAATATTCCTGGTACTCATTTCTGTTAGAGGCTGAGTTGATCCCAGGGCCATAGTGCAGCTGGAAGCATTAGGTAAATTGAAAAAATCCACCTCGTCGGGATTCGATCCTGCAACCTTCCGGCTTGTAACATAGTGCCCCCCCCCAAATAGAAACACTATTCTTAATAAAGTACTTGTTCGAAACTATGGGTAGGAAACCTGAGAGTTATCCATATTCAGGGACGTGAACTAGCGCACAGTGTGCGGAAGTTCATGTTAGAAGAGTGACTACAAATGAAATAATGTATCGAGGGAGGAACACAAACCCACATTTTTAGAAAGAGAACATTTGTCCCAACATGTCCACTCCTTCCATCTGCCCACCCCCATTGCTGTCAGTCATCTGGTACACCAGACTTTAAGCAAGCAGCACATGCACACTGGCGCCATGAGACTGTGACCATCTTCTACACCAAGAAGGGAGAAAACAGAAGTCTTAGGAAACTGTGGGGTTTGAATGCCAGGGGTTTATTCAGTTGTCAGCTTTACAAGACCAGTGACACAGTTACAGGTGTTTTTATTGGATACCAGTGCTGAAATTCATTCTAAATGTATCTAGTGTGGGACCCGTTCAGAACTTTAATGTCAGTGATAATATAATTTCAGAACATATTTCTTAGAGAAGAGGCAAACAACTCTCAGGTGCTTAGGGAAATCCATGCATTTATTTTGAGGTTCAGTGCTTATTTACACTATGCTCTTTCTGTTCACAGGATAACAACACAAGTGAACTGAATGCAATATTTGCAAAAGTTGATGACAGAAGGAGAGTAAGTGTTATTGTATATGTCTTGTATTGCATATTGTTGATGTAACAGCAACTAAGAATTCAATGAATAGTTTTGTCATTGTGAGATAAGCTTTTTCTTAATTTAATTTCCCCTGCTTTCTCTCATATTCTTTTCTGGTCCTTCATGTTATCAAATGATTCATTAAGGTCACTGTTTAACACCTTTTTGCATGAATAACATGTATAGTCAATCCAAAGCCATGTGCTTTATATAGTGTAATCCACATCATAATATTCAGTACTAACATAATAGACACAATCCACAGAAACATAAGACTGTTCACTCAGTTGTTAGCTGTTGCATAACTTACATTTATGCAAGATGTGAACACAAAGCTGTATATTGGAGCCTTCCTGTCACTGTTATGAGGGAGAGTCAGTAAATAAGTCACAAACGGATATAAAGTGTAAAGATGTGATAATTGAACATGAAAGAAACATTTATTTCTTGACATATCCTCCACCAAAATTGATACACTTGTCTCATTGCTTTGCCATTGTGTCGAAACCCACAACATAGAAGTTTTTCATCATGTCTTAGACCAGGCATGTCCAACTTCAAACAAGTTGTGATCAACTTTTTAGTGTCAAAACTGCCAGTGATCTACCACCCCCTCCTATTGTCGTACCTCGCTTTAAGCAAAATTATTGGTAAAAATAACACGACACATGAAGTTTGTTGTAAAAGCAACTAGTAACTGGGCTGTGTCTCTGATGTCTGTAGATTCATCCAGTTGGAGGGAGAAAGCAACACAATTTGAAACATCTTTCAGCAACTGTTTAGCTAGGTTTCCACACATCATTTCTGTTTGCTGCACAATGGAGTTTCTTGATAATTGAATATCTTGAATAGTAGCTATGATCTCTTTCTTATTTTATATTACAAGTGAATTTACATGCTTTTCACGTATAATTTCCTTATAGTCATATGAGATCGACCAAAAATCGTCCCTCGATCAACGCGTTGGACATGCCTGTCTTAGATAATTCCGCATCTGTGCTTCAACCTTTTCATCATTAGTGAAACGTTTGTTACCAAGGTTGTTTCCTACCAGACCAAACAGACAGAAGTCACTAAGGGCGAAGCCCGGGCTGTAAGGCAGATGTTGAAGTTCCCACTGAGCTCTTGAATTCTGTGCTGGGATTCTCAGGTTATATGCGGTCTGCCATTGTCATGATGAAGCAATACCCCTCTTGCACAGTTGGCCTTGACATTTTCTGTGAATTGCATCCCAAAGCTTCACCAAAATTTAACAGTATGATGCAGAATTCAGAGTTTAACCATGCTTCTAAAAATGGGCTAATAGTACTCTATGAGTATCCCAGAACATGAAAAGCATAACCTTCCCAGCTCTTGGCATAACCTTAAACTTTTTGGTTGAAGGTGAACTGGCATGTTTCCATTGCATCTAAGCATGCTTTGGTCCAGGTTGGTAGTAATACCCCCATGATTTGTCCCCAGTAGCAGTCCTGTTAAGCATATCTTCTCCTTCATCTGCATACCGTAAGTGATGTTGCAAGGACAGACCCATTTGCTTAATTTTTCCTCGATCCTTCAGTTCTCTGGGCACCCACAGCATGCACATCTTTTTGAAACTTGAATTGATCATCCATTATGCTGTATGCTAAACAATGGAAACATCCTAGTGCAGTTGCTACACTGTCTGTCGTTATCGTCCTGTCAGCTCGAATCAACTCTTCTGCCATCTGCACAGTTTCTTCTCTTGCATTCTCGGCAGGGTGACCTAGTTGGGCACCATCTGCAACTTTCGAACACCCTTGAGAGAATTTCTCGGTCCAGTGACTACTTTATGTGACAAACACTTCCCATCGTAAACAGGAAACATTTCCTTACGAATATCTTTTGTATCGAGTCCTTTTGCCCACAATAAACGCACAACAGAACGCTACTCTTTGGTAATATACTCCTCGAAAATGATCGCCATTCTACTACTGAAACAAGCCTCTGAACATGTGCATAAACACCTGCTGCCTAGACTGTCATGAAGCTGGACCATGCTGCTACCTAGTGATACACATAGAAAGCCCACTACATCCATTACAGCTGTTTTACTTCCATTTGTGATGTATTTACTGATTCCCCCGTACATTACTTTTATTTGCAGAATTTTTAGATCTTTTTTGTGATAACATTATCTTCATGGAACAGAAGCATTAAACGCTGAATTAACTTCGTTGCACCACCTCAGTAACTGTCTCATTTCCAGAAACGTGATGTTCCAGACTATTTATGTGGAAAAATCAGTTTTGAGATTCTACGTGAACCTGTCATCACACCTAGTGGTATCACATATGAAAGGAAGGACATCGAAGAGCATTTACAGGTTTGTACGCTCTCTGTATAGGGTCTCTCTCTGAAAAGCTGCTCCAAATTTACTTGCATGTAATGGCCGCGCCATAGCTCAAGTGGATAGTCGCTGGCTTCCCATCACGGCGGCCCGGATTTGATCCCAGGTCTGGTCAAGTGGGATTTGTGGTGGACAAAGTGGCACTGGGGCAGGTTTTCCCTGAGTACTTTTCCCTGCCAAACTTCACTCCAACAGATTCTCCATCCTCATAATCACCCGGGGCAGGTACAATAGGCTAATCAGTGGCCGACGTGCCGAGTGGACCCAACTGGACTCCATCCCCCACTATGCACATTTTTACGTACATATAATTACTTAACTGTACAGCAAACATTACTGTATTTGGAGTCTTGGGAGAGTCACTGTCATGTAGAAACATTTTCAACATGTGCACCATCAGCATCTGTGACCATGTGCAACCAATGTCAGAAATTTAACATAACTGCAGCTGGAGTTCCTTACTGACAATACCCTTCCTACTGTTGATCACACTCTGGTCACTTCAAACATGTTAACTAATCTGTTTGTTGTAGACATGCTCGGTGCTTTCCAGCACTCAAATTTCAATCAGAATTCATGCTGAATCATGATAACACTAGCAGTCTAGTGAAATCTTTTCGCTAAATACACACAGTTCTGTTGAGCACACCATCGTGATCACTGTTGCTTCATGACATTCCCAGCAAGGGTAGCACATTCTTCCAACCTGTCTACCACTTTGAGCTACAGCCCTGGGAGAGCCTTGGTCTCTTCTACAACCAGTCTCCACAACCAATGCCTGCTACTGTAGGAGTGGATCCATGCATGATGACCTGAGTCTGGTGGTTAGGGTTCTGAACAAAATTCTTTTTACAGGATGGGGTTGTTAGCCTAATGCCCAACCCCCAAACTGGAGGGCCAGGGTATCTCTCTTAGTCTGGACTATACCCTTTGACCTTTCCAGCATGGGTGACCCTACCGGTAGTTAAACTACCGCTGGCATAGCTCTCCAGGTCACAGAGTCAAGCAAGCTCCACCACCAACCACCACAACAAGGTGGGGACACCTTTGGGGGGACATTCTTCCAAGACTAGTGAATTTAGAGATATCAAATACAGTGATATTTGCTATGCAGTTAGATAATTATGTGCAATTAAAACTGGGTTGTCTTTTTGAGAATGAGCACACATGATGTAAGATATCTGATTTTCAGTAATTGTAATAATCAAATTCCAAGCCATGTAGCCAACTTTAGTGTTGACCGTAAACACTGAAGAGATTGAAATTCAAGTTAAGTATGTGTTCATGTTTTTTACAATATAAATCCAGCTTGGTGGTTCACAGCAACTCATAGACAGTTCACACATATATATAAATATTATATATATATATATATATATATNGTAAAGTGTGGAAACCCGTGATATTGTGATAATTAAGTGTAGCCGATAGTTGTAGATTGTTCAATAAACCAGTTAACCATCTCTACGGCGTCTTCGGTAACGTAAACACGTTACAATATATATATAGTGACATGTAAATCCATTGCTAAGCAACAGACATGCAGTCCAGTATGCAACAGTAGAACAACGGGGTTATGTAACCTGCTTTTAGGTAATGGCCCGGTAAACACACTTCTGCCCAGGTGCAATGATGTCACCACAACAGGTAGCTGTCACATGACATGTGTTTTCTGTAGCCAACACACCAGTGGGCTGGCTGGGTAGCCATCACGTGACGTGTTTTCTGTGATACATGTCCGTGCTGCATCTACATAAGTGAGCTGGATGAGTGAATTATGAAAATTAGTTGAGTACACATTAGGACAGAGGATTACAGAGTGACTGAAGACGAACTAACAAGAAGACTTCATAGTGATTTGAAGAGCTAGTTACTGTGTTGAGATCCGTTGCTGGGAGACGACTAGTGAAGACCGAGAATCCTAATGCATATGTAACGGTGAACTGAAAGTGTGTAGAACAGCGATAGCATTATAATTGAGTGTGATTAAGAGAACTTGTAAACAAAGTGCCAATAAATCCAATCCAATCTAGAACTTGTTATTTTCGTCATATGTACCCCCCTACGTGTGATGTATATTGTGACGCATTGCGAGGCAGCTTGTCAGTAAATGCATTATTGCATGCCCTGTACATGCAACAGTAGATGAAAGGTGTTTTCTGTGTGGTCCATGCCAAGAGGATGTAAGAAAATACGGGAATGGGAATTGACTTCACTTGAGTTCCGAAGTTCCAAGGGAACAGCAGTGTGGCCAGAAAAAGAATTAGAAGGCTTAGTGTGTGACCTTACATGTACTATAGTATATCGATATTGGGAGTGTGTAATTTAGTGAGACTTTTACGGATCCCGTGTTATAAATCCATTGCCAGGAAACGGATAGTGAAGACTAGTGTAAATAGAATGATAGATTAGCATGGAGTGATTCTACATCGTTTAAATCAGCAATAGTCTAATAATTATTTGTAGTTACGACCAGTAGGTGGTTAATAAATCCAATTACCAATCCAAACCTCATCTTTAGTCACTAATACACATGACAACATATATGAAGGGGAAAAGAAGCACTGAACCATATACGTACAGTATTTGCAAGATGTTTAATATCTGAATTACCATCGTGCAATTGTATGACAACCTCAGGATGCTCAAATTTGGAAAACTATAGATTGATCATAAAGTTTTGTACAGAAAAGTACCTACACAGAAATAATTGAACATCTGTGTGCAATAAATATCCCTGTGATCAACTGAGTTAGACTGGGGCCACACGAGCGCACAAAGTACGTCCGTTGCAACGAACGTACTTTATGACGGACGTTGCTGAGGACACCACACAGTTGCAGAATGCGGTGCATAGTTTTTTGTCTGCAATGGAGCCAGAAGAAACCATAGCATTCGCCTCCCTTGTTTATTTCTACAACAGACACATTTTGTGCCCTCATGTGGCCCCAGCCTTAGTGCTAGACACACTATGAAAGTATGGTAGAGTCCCTTCTTCTGGTAAAATTCAAACATTGTGTTGTGCAACATAAATTTCCTGTTCTCCCGTTTCTCATTTTCTAAAAAAGAACACGTCAGGTTTGGAAGACCTTGAAACATAATGACATCTAATTTTGAATAATTGTCTTTTTTTTTTTTTTTTGCAGAGGGTAGGCCATTTTGACATTGTTACAAGAGTGAAGCTAACACAAGACCAGCTTATTCCCAACTTTGCAATGAAAGAAGTGGTTGATGCATTTCTGCAAGAGAATGAGTGGGCCTTAGACTACTGACAGACCATGAGAAAATGTTTTGTGGTTTATCCTTTCAGCTATGCGGAAGGCCACACATCAGACATTGTATGGGTACACAAAATCCAGATATTTACATGAATATATAGGACATGCCACATTTGGTTTCAGTTGTGAAATTTGTGACAGGTCTTCGTAATAGCTTATTGATACACTGAACAGACTCTGTATACCAAATTGTACCAAGTGTAAACAACAGTTTGTTAGTGTCATGTAATGCAATAGAAGTTGGTAAATTATGTAAATACCTCCTTGTGAAGAGTTTTGCAAATTGTATTGCTTATTGACTTCACTGAAATGGGAAGTTCAGTTTCTTAATGCAGTATAGATCAGCTAGAAGATAAAAAGAATCACACTTGTTAAAATGACATTTCACGTGTATACATAATTTAGAAATTAGGTTTAATTGAAAATAATGTTGTTGGCTTTGACATTTCTCACAGCTGTGACTATGAAGAATACAATCTTTGGAAAAACTGGTGGACTTACACCAAACTACATGGTGTTATAACCCAGAAGATGGTATTCTTGTATTTTTGATCCCACATACGAGGTCATTTTGTGGTAAATTAAAATATAATGAAACAGTTCAGAAAGAAAGTTATGCTCAAATTAGGCAATTTTAAATTTTCAGTCTGTAACCAAAAACTGTTTCAAAACATGTGTAATGAGTTTGATGTTTACCCTTTATGCATATCATTTAATCTGTGGTACATGTTTTGACTCCCTTGAAGAGTTCTTACAAACTCTTTCATTAACAGAAAATTGCACTCCCACAATAAAGTAAAGGTAAAGATATCTCTGTAACAGTCCGTGGAGACCTATAGGGTTGTGAGACATCGAGGCTCACAGATGGCAGTGAGGTCAGCCTTACGAGCGAGCCGCCCCTTACCCCGGAAGATTTCTGGTACTCATTTCTCTTAGAGGCTGAGTCAACCCCAGGGCCATAGTGCGGCTAGAAGGATTAGGTGACTTGAGAAACCCAGTGACCTCATTGGGAATCAAACCCATGACCTTCCAGCTTCTAGCATAGTTGTTCAACCAACTACACTATTGCATGCCCCTCACAGTAATGTGGACAGGTAAAATTAGTACTGAAACTTTTGCTTGAGAAGCTTGGTGTGTTCCTGTAGATAGATAACAGTATATTATTGGTTTTGTTCTATTATTTTGGAGTGTTTACAAATGTTGCAAAATGGTTTGGTAACTAACTTAATAATTACATCATAAGAAGAATTATATTGAGCTTCTTCCCCCTTTCTGTGGTACATTTGCAATGGAAAGTTGTAGATATGAACCGGTTTACTTCACATTATGTAACAACTCAGAAACTAATGAATGGATTTTCATTAAATTCTGTATTGGGGATTCTAAAATTTGATAATACATTCCAGTTTTGATTACAATCACGGCAACAGTAATGGACACTTTTCACAAGGCCAATATGTGTGCATGCCACTGTAACTCACTGAAATGTTTATAAAGTAAGTAAAGTAAAGCTATCCCTTTACCAGGCCGTGAAGGCCCATAGGGTTGTGAGACGTTGAGGGTCCCACATTTTCTAGACAAGCGGCTCAAAGATGGCAGTAATGTTGTCAGCCTTACGCGCCGGCCGTGCTTTACTCCCCACGAAAATTATTTAATTGATTCCTGGTACTCATTTCTGTTAGAGGCTGAGTCGCCCCCAGGGCCATAGTGCAGCCAGAAGGATTAGGTCAATTGAAAAAATCCAGTGACCTCATTGGGACTTGAACCCACAACCTTCTGGCTTGTAGCATAGTGCCTCAACCAACTATGCTACCATGTGCCCCTACTGATATAAAATGTTCTGAACAAAAGTTACAGAGAAAACTGAATGAAACAAATCTTCTGTGTGCAATATATGTTTTCTACAAGTTACGCAGTTTTTCCGATTATTGAACAAAAAAAAAGCATGTATGCTGTGTGTATGTTTTGAAACTGTTTCATATTTTATTGTCCACTTCTCATGTGACCGTTTTACTTGCTCCTATAGTTTTAAATTAAGGCAGCTTCAGGATCAGGGTTCACCGTACAAATATATTTCCTCTTCCCCTATTCCAACATGCCTCTAAAAGAGATTTTTATCTTTATAAATATGCCTTGTTCTTGATTTATACCCTAAAGTGCAAAGAAGGAACTGGTTTATAGCCTGGTAGACAACATACTTATCTGCTAAGCCCTGTGGCAGTAAGTACAATTGTACAGAAGAATCCATCCATAGTGCTTTCCTGAAATGAACTTGAAACAGCTGAGGAATGCATCATATGGAAGGTCATTCTATGACACTTGATACATATCTATTGGCAGAAATGCTATATTGATTGATTAGCAATGAGCCAGTCTCTTTGGCTGTGGTGGTTTTGCTTTAAGTACCCCAAGCCAAAAATACATGGCATGCAAAGCGTTAATATAGTTCTTATGTCTTTTAGTGGTGGATTGGACTTTTCATTGTCTTAAAATAGTTGTAAATGTGTGAAGTTGATTCTTATAATAAAAATTACAGTATTTTGCACAATACAAGAAAAATATTGATGTAACGCAGAAAATTATGATTCTCAGGATGATTATAAAATCTGAAAACACAGTAATTTTGAGTATTATAATATCTGTTTATACAGGCCATCATCTCTATCTTCCATAGCTATCAACAGTTTTCTTTTTTTTAATTTTGTTATATAAAAGTTGTACTGTATTTACTCCTCCCTTCTTTCAGCAGTTTATATAAATTTACAATAGACGTTATGATTATTGTACTAGGTATGTGATCCCAGCACACCTTATGACACAGTACAAGACATATCTATCCAGAGGTTTCACTCCAGTAATTTAGAAAGCATAAGACTCTTCGATAACAGTAATTTCACACTTTCATCTGTGGGAACATCCCACATACTTACATGCTGTTTGTGGCCTCCGTAGTCTAGAGGTAACGTTCCCACCTCATGACTCATGGTATGCGGGTTCAAATACCCGGCGGAGGTGGTCGAATTTTTAAGGGCGGAAAAATTCAGGGAACAAGTCCTCCGGGAGGGACTTTAAGCTGTGTGTCCCATGTCGGAACTTTACGGCACGTAAAAAAACCTCATATCCCCAAAGGGGATCACTGAGCCAAATTCCAGGACGTTTCCCGCCCAACGATAGTCTCTAAGGCCTCTTGATAGATGGGGGAAGCATTATAGATACCACTAAGCAAGTGGCCGAACTCGCTTGCTCGGCGGGACCGATGGTACGCACCATTTATCGGTAGGTATAGAGACTGGTAGAATGCCATAGAGGGAAGCACAATAGATCAAACTGGTCGCGGTTAATGGGGAAACCCACCCTCTCTAAATAACTAACTAACTACATGCTGTTTCGCCGGTCTAACAGACAACACTCACTCCTAGGTCAATATCACATTGCCACACATTCAAAGTCAAAGCTCATGTTTATACAGCACTCGATGTCCAACCCACCTGTAGATCATCACATGCACTAACCAATCACATTGCTGCCAGCGCTCGTATTTATACAGTACTCGCTGTCCAGACCACATTTAGATCATCACGTGTGCTAGCCAATCAGCGCTCACAATCATAACTGCAAGTTTCACTCCGCCCATCAAGCATGGTATAAAAGGTGGAGCCCAAAGCTTGCAATCTTCAGTGATCACATTCAGTTCAGAGAGAACAGTCATCAGAGTCATCAGCTCTTCACTGCGACCAGGCAACTGACTAGTTGCCATAAGTCTCCAGCGACCACGATCTGCAACCAGGCAACTGACGTAGTTGCCACAAGTCTCCAGCGACCACGATCTGCAACCAGGCAACTGACGTGGTTGCCGCAAGTCTCCAGCAACCACTATCTGCAACCAGGCTGGTTGCCGCAAGTCTCCAGCGACCACGATCTGCAACCAGGCAACTGACGTGATTGCCGCAAGTCTCCAGCGACCACGCTCTGCAACCAGGCAACTGACGTAGTTGCCGCAAGTCTCCAGCGACCACGATCTGCAACCAGGCAACTAATGCAGCTGCCGCAACTCCAGCAACCACACCATATGCAGCTGTTTCTACTGGCGTATGCAGCACTACATCACCAACCAGACAGGCCAGCTGAACGGCCATAAGACTTGGCCTACTACGAAGGAGCAAATTCTGCCAGCGCACTCACGGTGGAACAAACTGCCCTTTTGAGGGCCAGCCAACTTTTGAACATTCCACATAGCTTCACAGCTATTCTGTACATTCAATTTATACAATTTAATATATACAATTGTTACAGTTCTACGTGGTTGTCATTTAGAACATCGACAATCCCACACATCCTCGTTAGTGAACTGCAAGTGAAGACAAAAAAAGTCATGACCTCAGAAAGAGAACCGGATGCCCAAAAAATCGAAACATTTTAATACATGTGACATGGTAGCTGCCCACAGAACCATAAAGGCATATGAATCTCCATTGATCAGAATTATAATTTGTTTAATCTTGAAGTTACTTTTGTTGTCTGTTGACTCCCATGTCATTTTTATTTCATAGCTATTATTATGTTGCCATTTTCCAGCATAGCTACATGTCATATGTTCTGTTGCTTCATTACCCTACCTGCCCATAAAGTTACCAAAAGGAACTGCAGGTTCATGGTTACATGTTACCATCGCTACTCTCTCTTTAGGAAGGTTAACAGCCTCTGCATATTTCAATTCTAAAATGATTGCCTTCGAATGAATGAGAAACGTTATTGCAGGTAGCAATGAGGTGGAATGTCATCTGTTAGAATATATACTTATGTATTGTATATGAGCAGGAAAGCATGAAATACTTGAATATATTTGAATGATCCACCTGACCGTTACAGTGTCCGTTATCATTTTTATGATCAAACTCAATGTTATCAAATGTGTCGGAATGTTCTTGAAAACATATACCATATTTATATAGTTTTTAAAATTGTATTTGAAATGTTTTTAAAAGTGGTATATGCCTGGCATGGTAGAAAGCAAATTAATTTATGTTTTTATGTACTTGGGAGGTTCTAACAGCAATTATGCTAAAATTAAATTCATGTGAGAACTTCTAGTGTAGACTTTCCATAAAACAGTAAATGCTTTAACAGATTAAACCTTGACAGATGGATGAACTAATGAACTAGACGATCTTCCCATAAAGTGAAGAAAGCAGTCTTCTGGGATGTGGCACTGTGTAGATGTGGTGTTAACCGACGTTTCGGAGGAACGTATCGCCTCCATCTTCAGGGTAGAAGGAAAAATAAGAAAATCCACAAGTGAAGAGACCGTGAGAACCGGTACAAGCAGATATTCTTATTTTTCCTTCTACTCTGAAGATGGAGGCGATATGTTCCTCTGAAACGTCGGTTAACACCACATCTACACGGTGCCACATCCCGGAAGACTGCTTTCTTCATAGTCACCGCCGTGAAAACCTAAAAAATTCCCATAAAGTGTTTCACTTTTCTACTTTCTGTAAAGTGAGTCTAAGAATGTGTTTCCTTGAGCAGTGGATTTAAGATGCATTAAAATTTCTTAAGATACTGTGTTTCTTTTGCCAACATGTAAATGTTCTATAGTTAAAGTATTATATTGCATTACTTGCATTCTTCCTGAATTTCTTATTATAATACTGATATAAATGTGTTATAATTCATTTATCTCATAATCCTGTGGAATGGTATCCACATACTTCCTACATTAGTGAGTTCAGGGTTGGCACAAGCCTAAATTCTACAACAGGTCATGAGAAATCCCGAAGTTAAAAACAGATTAAATTTTATCACAATAACATGAATTCAATAGACACTGATAAAAATTGTCAATGATGTAACAACTCTTAAAGCTTAGTTTTATTTACATTGTTGCATAAAATAAATGCTAATTAATGGCCACACTATGAACAGAAGAGAAGCAGAAATTATTTTCATTTAACAGCAATCTGAAGAAGGGGTTCAAAAGTGTACCACCACATTTGGCTGCTTGGTAAGCTTGTGCAGTTCCACCGACCTTTCTTTAGTTGAATGAAGAACACTGTCTTCTTCGTCAGATATTAAGCCCATGTCTTCTAGTATGGCTGTTACATCTTTTGACACAAAACCAAATCAGATACAAAGACATAACTGATTGTATTGCATGGAATCTTTCATGAAAAGCTGATAGTCCCTCAGTCAAGAGAATCCATTTTAATGAACCTAAATGGCCATTACTGTTTCACAAAAGCCTAATTCTGGACCGTGCCCAAAGTATGACTTTTTCTTGGCCTCCCAAGTAGTCCCTTCAATCTAAAATTCTGAGTGTGTTCCTCATTTCCATGAATGGCGGCAAATTTATATTGTGAACTGTATATAATAAATAAATTTTAAAATGTTTAAAAATTACAGGATTTGGGAACATCACTAATTAACAGAAATGAAGTTCATAATTAAGTTAGGAGAAGACTAAATTCTGAAAATCCTTGCTGTTACTCAGGTCAAGAACTGTTATCTGTTACTTTCCAAAGTGCTAAAGACCAACTGTACTCATACAAAACAACAGTTTTTTGTGGATGTGAAACATCATCTCTTTATTTGAGAGAGGTACATCCATTACAACTGTTTCAAAACAGTCTTCAGGGTAGCATTTCAATCTAAGAAAAATTAAGTTGTCTGTTTACAATATTACATAATGAATTACACAGGTCAGTGATATTGTTAGGATACTGAAATCTAGGAATCAAAGATGGGCCACAGAGGTACCAGGGTTGGAGAGATAAGGTGTGATCACTATGATAGGGATTATTTTGGGTGACCAAGATAGTAAAAAATGGTTTGATAATATTAAAATAGAAGTTGCTGTAAGGATGAGAGATTCACTGAATTGGTTTGAGTAGCTGGTTTAGCAGCTTAGTACAAGTAGTTAGGAACTCCTTACGATAATGTATGTTATACAATCCACAGTAGTAAGCCAAAATTTCTTGCTTGTGAAAGTAAAATTCCGAATGAGAAATGTTGTCTTGTATGAAATACATACTCTGTTTCAGATGGTGCATGAACCAATCTTTATCGTGTCTTCCAGTGACAATAATAGTAGTCTTTGAATATTAAAAGAAAGGTTGATGTAAACAAACAAATCATACTGTTACCCAAATAAACATCATATATATATATAGTCACGTGATTGAGTGACTAGACGGGGTTTAGATCAGTAATCAGCTTTATTGAACACAATAATGTAACTACAAATAACTGTTACAGTCTCACCGAGTTACTCAGTTCAGAGATCACTGTTAACTACAGCACATATAATGTCTTCTCAGTCTACACTAGCCATTGCTTGGTAGCGGCTTCCAACGGCACACATTCCTCTTCCTGTGGTTTCCTGAATTGTCTCTTGCCTCAGCTACCAGGCTTTCACTTCTCCCAACTGACTCAACCACCAACCAACTCACTCCAGTCCACTGACTGATCTTACCGACCAACCGCCCTGCCTATAACATCTCGACGCAGACCGCCCAGAAAATATTTTTCCTGTGTTGCTGTGCCATTGTTGCATATGCAGCCATCAGTGCAGACTCCACATAAAACACCGTTCCTCTGTTGCTGTTTACAGGCCATTCCTTAGCAACAGCTGGTGTATATTTGCTTATCTCATGCTCACTGCCTAGCAATAGATCTACATGCTGCTATATGTCTGTATGATATACAGGGACTGAACAAAATGGTGGAAATACTGCAAATACTGTACACATTTTGTTGGATCACATTTGCCTTCAGTACAGCAGCAATCCTTGAAATGCACTCGTGGACAAATCTTTGTATATCACAACATAATACCAGCTGCAATATTTATTTGAAACGTTTTTTATGCTGCTCAGTGTTGTCTTCATATGAAGCTGTCATTCACTTTGAACCAAAATTTGCTCAGTACATTTTAGTTGGTTGAGGCACTATGCTACAAGCCAGAAGGTCGCAGGTTCAAGTCCCGATGAGGTCATTGGATTTTTTTCAAATGGCCTAATCCTTCCAACCACACTATGACCCTGGGGTCAACTCAGCCTCTAACAGAAATGAGTACCAGAAATATTCTTGGAATATTCTTGGGGGTAAAGGTTGGCCAGAATGTAAGGCTGACAACCTTGCCTCCATCCATGAGCTGACTGTCTAGAAAATGTGGGAACCTTAACATCTCACAACCCTATGGGCCTCCACAGCCTGTTACAGGGATACCTTTACTTTTACTTACATTTTAATAAGAATGCTAAATAAAATGTTATCAAAATTTAATAAGTCAAGAGAGAGTTACTATATAACAACATAACATACTCTTTTATTTAGTACCATTGCAAAATGTATACTGATGATTGTGTAATTTATATAATGTTAAATTATCCACATTATACAAAGAACTGCAGAAAAAATAGCAAATTACAAGATTCATAATAGCTAAGGTAAAATGTAAAGTCCCTGGGCTTAATTAATTAAGCACCAAGCCATGAAGATATATTGTTACATGGAGATATAGCTCCACCATTTTTAATCTCAGCATTGGCCTGCTTCACACCTCTGCCACTTTACCCCAGTGGAAAAACCCCTGGTACACACTATTGGAAACTGGGTGGACCCCAGAACTGGTCTGAACATAACAGAAAAGAAAAATATCTTTCTCCTGGGTAGTCCAGCCCATAGCCTAGCACTATGCCAAGTGAGCTATCCTGGCTTCTCTCATAGTAGCTATCTGCATTAGAATTATATTAGAAATAAATCTGATAACAAAGCTAATTACTATCTTCTGAGATGTAATGCTATATAGTCTGGTAGAAGTCCACTGACACTGCTTGCATGGCTTACTCTCCAGCACTGAAGATGGAGGCAGTAAATTCCTCTGTAGGATATACCAGACTACACAGTCTCACATCCCAAAAGACAGTATTCTTCATAGTCACTGCTATAAGAACCTCAGATCCAAATTTCATCACCTTCACTGTCTGGTATTTCAGTAAATGCTGGAGTGTAATTATGAAGTTCCACATTTTCATCCACAGTTCCAATGTACCATGAAAATTTATCTATGTAGTTGGGCGACTGTTTTTGGCCAACTAGGTTTGTAGGATCTTTACTATCTAAACTACATTCCAGAGGCCACTCCTGAGTATTTCTTTCAAAGCAATATTTTCCACTCTGATTCACACTGTTGCTGTCTTGCTGCTTTTTTATATCAATGGCTTGTTCTTGGGAAATAACTTTTGAATCAGCATTTCCATAATTAACTTCTGAACAGTCCTGGTCACGTATATTTCCTTGTTTAATACAGTAAGGGCTGACATCAGTAATACGTTTCTTCTTATATCTCGAGTTTCCTCTTTGCCTTACAGGTATCTTTCCAAGTCTGATTATTTCTCTTATTTGTCCTGTTGCAAAGTTTGCAAATTTCAGTAGGCTTGTGACAGGATCTGCCATAGCACATATGTTTTATTATTTCTTTTAAAGTTTCTACAAGAGAAAAAAACAACAGACATAAATCAGAATTCAGGCATGTTGTTTTAAAATTGGTGCATATGGTACATTTTTGCTACGAAAGATTCTATTCAGTAAATGAAAACAACACGCCCATCTTTTATTAAGCATCAGGAAACTGCATCTAAAAGAGGGCTTAAATTAAAATCAACTTTCCACACAAATACCTCTGATAAGCAAGCACAGGAATCCAATTTTACCCCAACATTCTTTGATACAAAATTTGAACTGGAACACAGCGGAGATAGTGGACTTAAAAGAGTAGTATCTTAAATGGGGGTTATTTACTGTAGGAAGGGTGCAGAAACAAATCTGTAAACACTTCATCACTCTTATTAGATAATTTATATACTACATCAGTAGTTTTCCTCAACTGAAAGACTGACAACATTGTTACAACAGTGGAGTTTTCTGCTGTCGTCTGAAGTGAACATGACAATCATACTAATATATTCTTATGGCCACACTTAGAAAAACTTAACTAGAAGGCCCAACTTAAATTGTGAGGATATGATAATGTGCTGCCTGGTCAGGGCTACCACGCTTCTCAGGTGTGGTGATAAATAAATATGGAGCAATGGTGAAATGCCGATTAGCACTTAACAAAAAAACTGCTCCAATGTCATTTCGTCCACCATGAATCTTACATAAAGTCACCTGGGATTGAACCAAAGTCACCTCAGTGAGAAACCAGCATCTAAATGACAAAACTTCATATGCCAAGATTGTAATAAAACAAAGTTATCATTTTGTGTATTTAATTGAGTGCCTTTTCAATATTTTGTAGCCAACATCTAAGCAAAGAATTTCACATTTCATTTCATACACCTATGAAATACTATAACCTATTTGACATATGCTTAACACAAAGTTCAGTATTCTTTCTTTAACGATAATGTATTCAGGAGAAGAAATTAGATTTCTTGTGCCATCTGACACAATTAAATTTCCCTTAATTGCCACCATTCCTATCCACAAGACCAGAAAGTCAGAAGACTATGAAAGAACTTAATGAAAATGAGATGCTTACATAAAATTACTCATTAGCCTTCAGAATACCCTTTGTGTACACCTATACAATTATTCCCTTGTTATTTTCTTAATTTTAAAATGCATAGGGAGAAATATTTTTAATGATGTACTGAGTAAACACATAACAGTATTGCTATGCTAAAATCATTACCAAACTCAAAATGGTGGACTGTATTTTTCTGAAAATACACCAGCACTGTCAAGGGGCAGGTCCGATGAATATGATGACAGAATCTTAATCTCCATTTCTGCTTCTGGTAAATCTAGGAGCCATGGTCACCTGTCTTCAGTGATATTAACTAGTATATAATATGTATGCCAAGCAGACAGGTAAAGTTAATATTCTTCCAGAAGTTTCATAGTAAAAGTACGTGAAACTTCTAAATGGCCTAACTAACCAACTTCATGGAACTGAGCCCTTCATAAGAAGCCACCAATTGAGTATCTACTCAAGGATATCCCAACAATTTATGGGACGCAAATATTCATTACTATGGTCACAAGAGCCCTCCAATGGTCACTATACCGAGCCAGATCAATCCAGTCCATACCAAACCCACCATATCTAATATTCATTTTAATATTATCCACCCACTTATATCTTAGTCTTCCTAGTGGTATCTTTACTTCTGGCTTTCCCACCAATATCCTATATGCATTCCTGTTCTCCCCCTTTCATGCTACATGCCTTGCCCATGTCATCCTCCTTGGTTGGTCATTCTAATTATGCTTGGAGAAGCCTACAACTTATGAAGCTCCTCATTATGCAGTTTCCTCCAACCTCCTGTCACTTCATCCCTCTTTGGTCCAAATATTCTCCTCAGCACCCTGTTCTCAAACACCCTCAGTCTATGCTTTTCCCTTAATGTCAGAGACCAAGTTTCTCAACCATGCAGAAACACAGGCAAAAGTATAGTTTTGTATATTCTAATTTTATGTTTTTAGGCAGCAGATGAGAAGACAAAAGGTTCTGGACTGAATGGTAGCAAGCATTACCCAAGTTCAATCGCCTCTTAATTTCCTCCCGAATCAGGTTTTGATTTGTTAGTTATTCCCAAATATTTTAACTGTGCCACATTTTCAAAACAACTGTTAGCTATCTTTATGTCATGAGTTTGCCCTGTATTCTGCTGATGAGAGAGCAACATATACTTAGTTTTCTTTGTGTTTAGTTCTAGAGCAACCTCCTTACTTGTGTCAATTAAAGTTTGTGTGTTTTTCTTTATGGTATCTATATTATCAGCCAGTAGATTCAGATCAACAACACAGACAAGCAGCTGGTGTGTCCCATTTCATTTCAGCCTCACCTGGCTTTCCTGGATCTTCCTAATGGCATATTCTAGAGCAAAGTTAAAAAAGCAGTGGCAATAAAGCATCTACTTGTTTTAGACCATTCTGGATAAGAAACTTATCAGACAAGTATTTACCTCTACAGACTTTACTGTACGTTTCGTTTAACCACATTTTAATCAGCCTAACTCGTTTCATGGGTAACCAAAACTTTATGAGAATAAAGTACAATACTTCCTCCTAACTGAATCACAGGCTTTTTTTAAGTCTATGAATAGCTGATATACTGTCTCATTATGCTCCCATTTTACGATGTGGGAACATCGAACTTTTGACAGTCAGATTTTTGGATGTGGCAAAGTTTGCTACTCTAACTACATTATCATTACTAATTTTGTGCAAACTCTCATTCCCAGTCATTGGTTTGAAAATGTCTTCCCTACCTACTTCGGCATTAAAATCTCATACAAAATTTTCATATGTACTTCAGGAATTTTTCAAATACAAGTTCTAGTTCTTTGTAGAACCTGTCCTTTATACCATCAATTTTATCTTCCACTGGAGCATGAACATTCAGAATGATATCACACCAGCGACCTCTTAGCATTATGTATGATATCCTGTCACTAACGAACTCTACCCACTTAACTGCTGATATGCTTCTCTTATGTATGAAAAAATCTGTACCTAANATCTTCCACTGGAGCATGAACATTCAGAATGATGATATCACACCAGCGACCTCTTAGCATTATGTATGATATCCTATCACTAACAAACTCTACCCACCTAACTGCTGATATGCTTCTCTTATGTATGAAAAAATCTGTACCTAATTCATGATTTTCATTCCCCTTTTTATAGAAAAATATATATTCACCTGCAGATTCAGTGCCACCTCTATCCCATCTGACCTCCTGTACTCCCACTAATTCTCTTACGTTTTGATATTTCTTTCACAACTGCCATGAGCAACTCTGCCCTATACAGACTTCTTACATTCCATGTACTAAATTTCATGTCCATTTTTTAACTTGGGTTGTTTATCCAAAGAATCTGTCCAGTTCCAAGGCCCTTTGTAACATGTCATAACAATCTTATTTTTATGGTGACTTATTAGCTGCACGCCCAACCCCCAAACTGAAGACCCACCCCTTGCCGGCTGTCTGTGACTGCTTATTCAATATATTTGCAGCTACCCTCCATACGTGGAGGCTTTCTCCTCCACCCACAACCTGAGGACAAGCCATGCCGTGGTGACAAGGGACCCACCTAAAATGGTTTAAATGGCCAATATGCATGAAAATTCAGTTTTCTTTTTAATGTTTCATAAGATATTCATTATTAGTTTTCAACCAAATGTAGAGACTGGGAGATCAACTACCATGCGTAACTCCCTTATTACCTGTTCACTTCATGCACTGAGAACAATAAATGCATAATAATTTAACAAAGAAATCAAGGTAGTGATCACTGCCATTTAGCTGAACAAAGGAAGTAATAATTCCAGGCAAGTTAAGTCCATCAAAGGAGGAAGTCATATCTCCACACATTTATATGAACTAATTTCCAGCAATGTTTCATATTCTCCACTCTTATCCAAACCGAATAAAAGACAATATGCAGAAAATTACCTCACCTTAATTTCTTGTAATATCTTCTCATGGTTCTTGTTATGTTTCACATTGGTTTTGGAATAACTTTCTGTCAATATGAGAAATCTCATCTTCTCTTTGCAGGAAACAAGATGAAACTGATATACTTCGGTAATATTACAAGCTTTTCCTTTGCTTTACCAACTTTATTACATTCCTCAGCCCACATGTGTCACCACAGGTGGTCTTTCACAGAAAAAACAGTACAGATGAAAAGAAGAATCAAAGAAAGACAGTGACAAAGCTATGAATTCAAAAGCATGAGATACCAAAGAAGTACAGAAATCCCAAATGTAAGGCTACAGCTTGGAAACTGCATGTGGTGTCATAACATGACTTTTAGTAAAGAAAATACTATTAAATTCTATAGGATTTGAGGTTCTCATAGTGGTGGTTTTGAAGAGCTCTATCTTCTGTGATATAACAATGTGTAGTCAACCAACATTTCTGCAAGCCAACTGCTCTGCTTGTCACCTGCTTTCATACTGGTTTCTTGCTTGCCCTATTTTTTGATCCTGAAGATGTTTCTCCTAAATGTCATTTGACATTCAACAGACTACACTGTATTATATCCCAAGATACAGAACTCTTCATTAATTAATCTTACTTTCTGCACCCACCACAAAAAATGGTGAAATATGATTTTACAAATTATAAGAATTACCCTTAACCCCTACCTCAAAAATAGCAGAGGTAAAATTATGCACATACAGTATTTATTTAGATGCTAAAAATTAATTCCTCCAGACAGTTAACAGCATTTTTTTTTCAAATCTCATTAAAGATGGCCAGATGCTTGTAGACAGGAACAACTTGCAAGCAGAGATGATGCGAATACAGCTTTTAATATGTGCACATTTTGTGCAAAAGTCTAACATGGTTTATCATAGCACAAGTTCCTTGATTATGGAACCAAACCATTCATCACTATTACAAACGTATTGCAATTCTCAACTGCAGGCAAACAGGTTACACTTTTTGAAGCTGTAACAACTAATGATGTTATGTTGCACTCAACTGATAGAATACCACAAATGGTGCAAAAGGAAGTAATGAAGGCCAATTAACTCTCTACTGCATTTAACAGGATGATGTGATAAAGATAGAAATTTCCCTCTGCCATCCAGCCCATCACTATGCCGACTGAGCTAACCCAGATACTTTTTAACAGAATGAATGTGGAAAAATTAAAATCACCTGCCTTTTTCTTTTTATTGCTAGTGGGGTGGGACTAAGTCCCTTGTACTGCAGCCAGCCACTTCTGGCATATTGTACCAGCCCCGGATGATAGGTCAGGGTGATTGTGGAGCAATTGGTGGAATGAAGATTGGCAGGGAAAACCGAAGTACTCGGAGAAAACCTGCCCCAGCGCCACTTTGTCCACCATAAATCCCACTTGAGCAGACCCGGGATCAAACACGGACCGCCGCGATGGGAAGCCAGCGACTAACTGCGTGAGCTATGGTGTGGCCTAAATCACCTGCCTTACTTAACATGTTACAAATGATGAACTAAAAGGTGTCAGAAAGAGCAGTAACAGGCTATTATTACTTCACTGGATTTCATGGAAAAGACAGCATCAAGATGCAATGAATTTAAATGATGAAGCAAAGACTTACCACAAGTATTCAGTTATGAATGAATGCAGCCATTTCAGACACCACCTCCACAGAGCTGAGTCCTTGAGAAGCTACTCAGTTACACACAGAATTTCCCAACATTTTATGGAGCCCAAGGGTTCATCACTGTGTTCATAAGAGCCTGCCACTGGTCCCTATCCTTAGCCAGATAAATCCAGTATATAACACCCCATCCTAACATATTTCTCTAACATCCGTTGTAATATTATCCTCCCACCTGTGTCTACAGCTTCCTTGTTGTCTCTCTCCTTCTGGCATTTCCCCCCAAAACCCTGTATGCATTCCATTTCTCCTCCATACATGCTACATGCCCTGCCCACCCCATTATCTTTGTCTTGATCATTCTAACTATATTTGATGAAGAGTACAAGTTATGAAACACCTCATTATCCAGTTTTCTCCAACCTCCTATCATTTCATCCCTCTTCAGTCCAAATATTCTCCTCGGCACACTGTTCTCAAATACCTCCTGCTTATGTTCTTTGCTTAATGTCAGAAACCAAGTTCACACTCATACAGAACCATAAACAAAATTATAGTTTTGTATATTTTAATTTTTACGCTTTTAGACAGCAGATGAAAATACAAGGTTCTGAACTGAATTGTAGTCAGTATTACCCGAGTTCAGTTTCCTCTGATTTCCTCATGAGCCTATATACACTTTTAATATTCATTATGAATGTTTTCTTTGTAACAGTTCACATATTAGACAAGTTAAAGTCCACTTTCTCTTTTACAAATATATAAACTTTCCCCCTTCGTTGGTGTCTCCACCTTATCATGGTGAGGGGGTTTCAGTATGCCAAGGACCCTGAGAGCTATACCAGCGGTAGCGTAGCTACTGGCAGGGCCTCCCTTGCTGGACAGGTCAAAGGGTAGGCATCAGACGAAGAGAGACACCAAAAACCAAAAACTGATGCCGGAAGCAGCATCATCAGCAGCGACTTGAAGCACAGAGCAAATGATGCTCGAGATGGTTCAAGTTCGTATAGCAGCAGGCATGACCAGAGCGGTTTGAACGCCTGTTGTACTGCGATGTGGAAAGCAAATGGAAAAACTACCACATTATCACTTTTCCTGGATAGTTTCTTTCCAAAAACAGAGATACCATATATGTGAGATGTTTCCTCTGGAGATAAAACAAACCAGAGGGGCGGATAGAAGTGACCAGAAGACGAGGAAGAAGACGTAAGATGATGATGGATGACCTTGGGGATAGAGAGGGTATTTTTATTTGAAGGAGAAAGCTTGTGATCGCATTAAGCTGAGGGACTGTTCTGGAAGAGACTGTGGACCTGTCATCTGACAGATTACTGATGAATGAATGAATAAACTTTCGTTCCCCATTCAAATGGGTGCGGGCGCGCGCACACACAGACACACCTAAAACTTAATTCGTATACGTAATAATTGACCTGGCTGGCTTCTTACAGCTACTACAAAACACATCTTTTATATATATTTTTTTACAAATTCTTAAGTGTACTTCTTCTGTATCCATATTCTGGCATGCAGACCCGCTGCTAGGCGGCGACCGCACGACAGGCGACTGTACAGTGGCCATTGCTAGGCAGCGGCCCGCTAATCAACAATCAAACAGCAATAAGGAACGGTGTTTTCTTTGCGATCCGTGCTGAGATGTTATAAACAGGACAATTGGAGCCTAGACATAAACGATGCCGCATCGCCACCTGGAAATTATCTCTCTCTGTTCGCGGACGATGCCTGTAATTACGCGACAAAGAAACACGAACGTCGTATTCTCTGCAAACTGAAACGCGGTTTCACTGCAGTGAATTCGTGAAGTGGGCGTCGGAACATGAAGATCAATGAAGAGAAAACTCAGGCGATCCATTTCTTTAGAAGCCTTTGAGTACCTGACGATATAATGCAACCAAACGAACTAGACACTGCCTGTGTAAATAATATATCGTATCTTTATGTCGCTTTCGACAGGAGGATGACATGGAGACACCATATCAAAAGGACTGTAGCTAAGGCCTTGCGCACGTACGTAATGACCTGTTCTCTATTCAGAAGTGGGCGTTTAACTACAGATATTAAACTTACGCTATACAAAGCTCTCATTAGTCCAGTTATGACTTAACCTATCCCACCTGGGTGTATGACGCGGACTCTCACCTCTTCAAATTGCAGCTCCTGCAGTATAGAATACTCCACGCTATTAGAAATCTTGACAGATACACACCAGTCCGCGAACTGCACGTGGCTTTCAAAACTCCTACCTGTATGATTACATAATTAAATTATGCAGGACACATGCAGAAGGAATCCTAATCCATGTGAATCCAAACGTAAGTGGTATTGGAGAAAGAGACATCATGCACAGGAAGTATAAGAGGCTTAGGCCTTCTCGACCCTTGCACCGCGGCCTACAGTGGTCTATTGTGCTTTTGTATAAATGTTACGTGGTATAGCGCAATGACAAAGGGTGCACAGAGCCCATAGTGAACTGGACGCCATGACAGCGCTGATACACTAGTGCTGAAACTACGGCGCAACAAACGTGGCGTCTGCACAGAAAGACCGAACCCCTCCGTCGAAAAGGAGGCCCCCTTTTCAAAATACGTACATGTCTAAGAGAGAACAAAAATCTTGGCCATGAATCTCGAGGAGACTGAAGCAAGAAATGACTGTTGATAAAGACCAGCAGTTTAACCGACCGGCCGCCAGCCGGTAAGAACTTGAGCACCAAAGCAGAGGACATTGTTGAGATCCGTCACCAGGCAACGACTAGGAAAGACAAAGCAGACTGAAAAGACTCAGTGCATGCTATAGTGAACTGCAGATAGTGTAAATAATAAAAGCGCTGTAGATACTTGTAGTTACCGCGTTGTCCTTAAGTGTGCAATAAATCCGATTACCAATCCAAACCGCGTCTATAGCCGTTAGAACTGGTGTCAGAAGTGAGATTGGATTGACCATATTAATTAGAATGGATAGGGCTGATTCAATCGAACTGAGGCAAGATAGAACAAATACTGGAACGCCTGTTGCCCGGCCAAGAACAAATGAAGGCCCTGCTGAAACCCGGGCATGAGGAGTTGATGGCTATAATGAAGGTCGGCCTGGAAGGAATGAAGTCTGTAGCAGATCATTAGGAAGTCTCTAAAGGAAAAGCCGCGGTGGAAACTAACGGAGCACTGAGGGACCGATGTGGAGACCGGCATGTAGCCGTAGGGCACCTCCGACAGCCGAAGAAACGGACCCAGGAGATGGTGGGTCCCAGATGAAGTTGGCCGCCGCCTGCAGACGGATGACACTCCGGGCCGTCCCTGCACGGCGTAAGAGACGTGGCCAGGAAGGACCGATGGTCGAGAAGAGACGGCAGAAAAGGCGTACCGTGAACTATGTTATACGCGGAAACCCTAAAGGACAGAGGTTCGATGCAACTGTGGTATAAGAGACCGAGGCCTAAGATGGGAACTGTGCCTGAAGAGCAAGAAGACATTTTATGGGGCCCTGCGACAAACTCGCGAGTGGAGGTTATGAAGCGAACTGTCGGTCTTCGACTGGCCTTTGGAAAGGGTGCGACTGGACACTGTGAAGTGGTCGGTCCCTTCCGAAACGAAAAGAGAAGCGCCCAAAGCACAACTCTCGGGAAAGAAGGAAGATGATCCGAGCCGAGAGGCTATAAGCAGGGCTAATTAGTGAATCAGTTGTGGGACAATCGCCAGCCTGTAGGAACATGAGCACGGAAGCATAGGGCACTGTTGTGTCCATTACTAAGCAACGCCTGGTGAAGACATAGCAGACTAAGAAGACTTAGTGCATGTTGTAGTGAACGGCAGAGAATGTGAGAATTAGTGATAATGCAACAGTTTCATGCAGGTGCAATCTCTAAGTGTTCAATAAGTACAATTACCAATCCAAACCCCATCTGTAGTCACTCATACATGTGACAATACCTTTGTTACATGATACACAACAGGAAGCAGAAAATAAAGACTTCTGACAAGTTTGTTGGTGTACATCATTTTTGCTTACCAGTATGTGTACAGGATGAAAGAAGCATTGATTAGTGTTATAGAATTGAATCGGGAAGAACGGACACATGTACTCACTATAGGAGTAGGAAAATGGAACTCAGTTCCTTCGAGAGCCCTAAAGAGAGGCTGTATTTTTAAAACAGGAATGGCTTGTATACTGGATATTGTTGCACTGCAATCCAGACCCAGCAAAGTCACTGTCATTCTGAAACACCACAGTAACCAAGATTTGGGATCCAAATGCAGACCCTATAGCTGTCATTTAATTGGGTGAAAATATTGACAGAACCAAAGAGATTAACTTTTACATCATTTTCAATATGCCTTTGCGACGCTTCATGTTTTCTAACTCTTTCTGACAAATGTTTAAGGTCAGTTATACCTGTCACAGTCCGACTCGTTTCCCCACCAAACAATAAACACACAAAACAAAAAAATGAATTCTTTTCTTCACTTACAGTCAGCCATTTCTTCTTGTGAAACCAAGATAACGGAAACGTTCTTTTCTGAGTCTTGCAGTTCTGATCAAGTTTGAAATCTGTTGGTTGATGCGCGCCAAGAGATTTACACGTAATTTCTCTTCTAAACTTAAAGTTGAGAAGTGATTTCAGAAGGGCGCCCACCCTATTCATATTAATCACTAATTCTAATACGAATACACTATTAACCTAATTTGGAAATTACACTTGAGAAACAACTCTAATTTAGGCCTACGCTAAAATCACTTTATTCCCGAACTTGTATCTTCTCCACTGCTCAAAATACAACTGAAAGATGGAATCTGAATGGTGTCTGAAAACCTACCCTCCGTCTCTTCTTACAAAGAACGTGTTACTTAAGGCTGGAAGAACAGAGGTAAGTTCACAATAGCATCCACACTCCACCCGTCCCTTTCAGCCTTGTGTATAGTGTTCTTTTTATTGCGGGCTTGTCAAAACTAGCCCCAAGCGTGACATTTGAAGCCGCATGAGATACTTAGAATCCCTGAAAGGTTCACTGAACTTAAGGCTGCTAAAGATACGCACAGTAAGGGCTAGGGACGAGCTAGCCCCTGCGTTATTGTACCCGTACAAATAAGCTGTGATATGGCCAAGACATCACTATTGCATTTTCGTATCTCCTTAATTACATCATGATAAAGAGAAATATTAATAGTTTGATACAAATTTGATCTCAATAAACAGAATAAAATATGAATGAATATGAAAATTCAATACTACAACAAAATCAGGTGGGGCTTAGCCCCTTTAGTCCCTAATGACGCACCGCCCCTCTTGGAGTCATTAACTGTAAATCAAATGCTGATTCAGAGGTTACGAGTGGTCAATGTATCCTAAACTTGTTACATGATATAGCCATCAACATAACAACTAAAGTGGGAATATCTTCAATGAAGATAACAGATTTTGGTATATATATATATATATAAAGGCCGCGCCATAGCTCAAGCGGTTAGTAGCTGGCTTCCCACCGTGGCGGCCCGGGTTCGAGCCCGGGGTCTGGTCTATTGGGATTTGTGGTGGACAAAGTGACGCTGGGGCAGGTTTTCTCCGAGTACTTCGGTTTCCCCTGCCAATCTTCATTCCACCAACTCCTCCACAATCACCCTCACCTATCATCTGGGGCTGGTACAATAGGCCAGAAGAGGCCGCAGTACAAGGGGCTTAGTTCCACCCCACTAACAACAACAAAAATATTTAATATAAGCATAAATTGGCCCCAATTTACACTTACATTAAATAAGTCAAATATATACCAATATCTGTTGCCTTCACTGAAAATATTCCCACTTTCTTTGTTGTGTTGATGGTTATTACATGTGATAAATATTATATGCACAACCGGCTGCGGTCTGTAAAGTTGTCATATGATGTAAAATATGTACTGTGTTATTTATAACGAATGGCTTCATACTACAGGAAGACCACATGCGGAAGTTCATATAAACTGGGTAAACAACTAGCTTCAAGTTATCATTTTTGGAAGTAAGGAGGTTCTCTCAGCAATAATATGACGACATTTATAGCTAAGTTGAATAATGAATTGCTATAACCTCAACATCAATTTAAAACTATAAGTATTTTGCAGGTACATAAGTTCATGATGACTAAAAACATACACAACATCTAAGAACATGTTGATTGATAATAAATTATGAACACAGACAATGACTACTCACGCTTTCCATATTTTTATGACTTAAATTTAATTCAATAAACTTATGAAATATATTTACATACTTGTGGAGAAATTAAAATCATATTTTATTACTACAATGTTATTGGTCATTTGACTGATACTTACACTTGAATAGCATATTACGTAGATATAGAATCTGCAATCATAATTTCAGAAGTTAATCATGACGATGTCAACATCACATGCTGAGTTAAATTTGTTCAAAAATTCTGTAATTGCTACTGCTTTAAATATTAAAAAAAATACGTTTTCTTTTAAAATATCCGGTAATAACTACGGTAATTATAAAACTACATAACTGGTAAAGTTAAAAGAAAATGAACTATATTTGCTTGCTTACCAAGGTTGTTCACTATCTTCTTTCTGTATTCATCGGCTTATTTCATTCCTTTCGTGGTTATGTAATTAACACTTCATTTATTCCGTATTGAAAACAAAACATAAATAATATTAGCAACATTTATTTTCAGTCCAATCAAAACACCGCGTGAACATAAAATAACATGACGTTCCCATGTGCACTCGTCACTATCACGCGGCCATATCCTACAGCCGTTATGATCGGTTATGATGGTTATGATCCCACAATTACCAGTTCAGAGCGGTTCTGTGTGTTACGGACATTATGCATATGTCTGACTGACTGACTGACTGACTGACTGCTGGTTCACGCTAGCGCACTGATTCTTGGTTCCGAGTGGCACGGAGGGAACTTATGACCATATATTTATGTCTGGCGGCTCTTCAAACAGTAGTGATCATTATAAATGTTCCGAGAGGGTTCAGACAGCGTTTTACACAAAATGATACTGAAAAATCCGTAGGTTCACCCTGAAACCTGAGATTTCATACAGCGGGGTCGTAAGGGTCCGCACAGGTTGCCTCAAAAAGAAAAATCTTAGAATAAAATATGAAGACATCCTATCTAAAAGTGTATCAGAACTTGTAACTGGAGAAGCCCAAAAGAGCAAGCTTAAGGCCGAAACCAGGCCAGCCTGTGTTTGTAAGTTGTACGCTCGCAATCACATCAGATTGGATGACCTTACATTCTTCGTCTCGGAGAGTATGACACAGGGAGCAACTACATACAAACAATTGGCCACCAAAGGAACAAATAAAGCCTTAAGACTACATTGTTCTTAGAACAGAAGGACAAGTTTCACGGGCGTGAATTCTAGTTGGACGGAACGATCTTCCGTTCTTCTCGTTTCTAAACCCCAAGTCGGCCGTTGGCAGCGTTGCTGAGGGTTAAGATAGGCCTGTTCATTGAAGGAAAGAGAACGAAAATGGCAGAATCAATGCGGAAAAGCCCCTTCTAAGTCTTAAAGCCAAGAAAACGCTGCATCCCTCACAACATCCAGCTGAAGACGAAGGAAAAACGTTTCTCCAAAATCCTGAATACAGCGCATTCTTCCAGATTTTGTACGCGAACCTTGGCGTCAACTTCTAGTTTTTCACAAGCGCTCCCATGACATACTTCAAGAAAGGAACAGAAACTTCTGGCTCTGGTGGACTTTTCATGACCACAGCAGACTCACAATGCATGGTATAAGAGATATTAGGACAGAGCTTTACAGTGAATGCTTAAAGGTCGGAATTATATCCCAATCCCGAAACAATATTTTACAGGATCGGTAAAAACAATTGTCCGTTTTAGAAAGAGAATTACCACTATGAACTCCGTGATTTTAGTCCGCAAGCGAACTATACCGATCGAGCGACCGCCGCTTGTCGGCGAATTTTAGTGCCAAATTTAACGGATAGAGGGTGTCGCTTGGTCAGCGCAACGAATCCCCACGGCCTTTAATTTTAGTAATCTAGACCGTAACCGCTATTTCCTTGAAATAGTTCCTCAGTTATTATCACGAGAGTGAGTGGACCCCGTTCCAGACCCACTATTTCTCAGAAAAATCTGGTAGATCCGGGAAACGAACCCGGACCTCTGGATCTGTAGCCAAGAACTCTGACCACTAGACCACAGAAGCGGTCGAATTATCATTATATTATTTAAAAATACCTTTACTATTATTTATTCCGGTCTAGAAACCCGAAATTAACGGCCGTAGTGAATCGTTGCGCTGACCACACGACACCCTCTATCCACTAAAGCTGACACTAACTTCGCCGACAAGTGGCGGTCGCTCGGTCGGTATAGTTCGCTTGCGGACTAAAGCCACGGAGTTTTTGTTTTACTATTATTTATTACGTTACAGTTTTATAATGTACTTCTGAACAGTTGTGTTACATTCCTCAGCGTCTGGAAATTGTGTCCGTTAAGTGGCTGCCCGCGGTATACGTTGCGTCTCTGAAGAGGGCCGTCAGTGGGTCCGAACGTTCTTGACTAATGTAAAGCCTTGCGAGGGAGCCCTTCAGCGTAGAATAACTAAAGGATGCGCTGCTGCTTCCACTTATCAGTGCAACAGAAATATTAGTAGTAGAGGGAAAGTGTAAGAACACTGCCAAATTGGGGGGGGGGTTCTTCGCAACAGGCGCTACGATTGACCGTAAATGTCCCTGGCTAATTTCGACTTGAAGCACACAGTTAGCAAGAATTTCAGTAAAATATTTATATCAGAGAAAACAAAATATAAATCTCGAATATGAGCTGCTGGTTACAGAAATGTAAATTTTATAGGTAATTTTTTTGTCATTTTTTGACATTTTTAGGTTTAAGGTCATTTTTTTCATTTGGGGGATAATTTTCTGGTAAATTTTTGGACTTTTAAGGGTATTTCTTGTCATTTTTGGCCATTTTAGGGAATTTTTCTTCATATGTTTTCTGAATGTGAATAACATGGAAGCGAAGTGTTCTTTCTTTTCTCCTTTATGTCATTTTTCTGGATTTTTCGGTCATTTTTTGAATATTTTCAGGTCATCAAAATCCTGGCTCTGCATATTACATTTTTGGGTCATATTTTAGGTAATTTTTCTGGATTTTCTCGGTCATTTCATAGGTCATTTTTTTAATATTTTCAGGTCATTAAAATCCGGGCCCTGGTGATAAGCCATGTATAATATACCTCATAATGGTGTACGGAAAGCGAGTGCTGTCACAGATTGCCAGTAGGAAAAATATCTTAGTCATGCACATTGGGCCCTGTTTACTACTTGGACTAAGTGAAGTTTGATGCATTTTGCACACTTTTTCTCACATTTAATGTAATGTAATGTAATGTCCTCTTATTTTCGTTGGTTATTCATAACGAAGCTTTCAGTATAGTCTATACATATTTTGGCATGTAGACCCGCTTCTAGGCAACAACCGCGAAATAAGCAACTATACAACAGCTACTGATAAGTAATGGCTCTGCAAACAACGGCCGTTGCTAGGCAATGGCTTAGTCGCGATCACGTGGGGAATCCAACAGACACGAACGCAACAATTTCACTGCGACAGAAGAACGGTGTGTTGTGTGTACGGTCTATGCCTAGATGTTATAAGCGGGAGTAGAATGGAGTTATTCAGTGGGTTGGTTGGTGAGTGAGTGAATTAATTAGAGCACTGCTGCAGATCCGTCCCTGTGAGTTGTCGCTGTTAGAAACTGGTAGCTGAAGCCGGGGACCGTTCGGGAACCCTGAGGAAGGGGAACGCCCTCCGTTGGAAGCCGTTACTAGACAATGACTGGTGAAGACACAGCAGGCTACGAAGATCTAGTGTGTCCTGCAGTGGTTTATGAAGTGTGCAGAACAGTAAGCGCACATCACACATTGTCTAAAACCTGGAATGTGGAGTACATTTTTAACAAAGGTTTATCATTTGAAAGAGCGTTAATGTTATATAAAATCACTGCTTTATTTTCTATTTTACATTAGGCCTATTGTTAGTTATTTCTTGTCAAGATATCAAAATATCTGATCGTGTAATGTAAGCATTCGTGATTCGTATGCTAAATTTATAAATAACTGACAAGTGTTTTCACAGATATGGATGAAAATGGTAGCAGCAGGAAGAAAAATCGTCTGTTCAGTGATATCATAGACAACTCTGTTCAGTGATATCATAGACACCTCTGTTCAGAAGTGAGCACTAAATAACTGGTACCTGCAGTAATTATAGCACAGTCTTGCAAATGGTTCATATTTTCTTTGGAATTTTAATAGTTTAAATGTAGAAATTATCATCTGCTCTCTGACTACAACACTTTGTAAGTAAAAATATTTTAAGATATAACCTAGAGGCATATAGTAATATTAATTTTGGGCAAGAAAGCTACCCATGATCGTTGATAGTAGAAAGATGAAAGGCAACGTATAGCGCCATTATTCCAGAGTTTTCTTTTTTATTCTCTCTCTCTCTCTATCTCTCTCTTTTAAGTAAAAGTAAGCAAAATTTTGAAAATAAAAAAAATATATACTAAGCCTTTAAAATTTTTATTCTTGTTTGCTAATAACACAGTTCATTCATTACTTTCTTGTAGTCTGCTGCAGTTTCGATGGACTTAGAACTATCTCATTCTGCAACAAATTGTCAATGTCTGTATGTCTGCCAGGGGAAGAAGAAGAAGACACAGCCACTGAAAACGTTAAATTATCCAAGTCTTTAGAAATCGCCGATGATGGTTGAAATTCTTCGTCTAATAACAACATTCCTTCTAGTTCATGAGCATCAGGGTCAGGGTTGACAAGCCCGATTCTTGATGATGGAGAACATGTTGATGTAGTTTCGATCACTGCCTTAGATGTCATTAATGTCGCACCATCATTTCTAAAAACACTATTTAAAGGTGTTCTTCTTTTATCACTTTCACGATATCTACCACAAGTATCAGCACTTTTAGCACGTCCAATTCTTAAAATCCCTTCTCTATCGTTACTGTTTTCGAAACTACTAAAATCAAAACTACTTGAATCCAATTGTCGCATTTCTAAATCTAGAAAATTACTGTCTTTTCTTATGGAGTTTTCCAGTAAATGCGTTGATCCTAAAATGTCTTCCTCGTCACTACTGCTAGTAATGAAATTGGGGATATTGATTGCTGGGGTTTGTAGTGGCTGGAAATTGTTACTAAAAGAGGAACATTTTTGTTCATGTTGTAAGAATAATAACGTAGTTGAGACAATATTTTGAGGAATTTGTTGTTGGTGTTGTTGACAGTGCTGTGGCTGTTGATGTTGCTGTTGCTGCTTCTGTTGTTGATAAGAAATATGTCCAGAGGATCCGGAAGGAACCGGTACATTAGATACCGTTGCTGTCTCAAGTGGGGTGGTTACAATACAGACGGTCTTTCTATTGTTCCCCTCGACGCTCTTCTGAAGAAGTTTGGTTTGATCTGCCATTGGTATATCTTCAGTACGTTTAGGTTCTTTGGAATCACTCTTCACAGCTCCAAGAAGACTATGATGGTTGAAATGTTGTGTAGATGGCAGCTGTTTGTGGTTGTTGATGTGACACTTCAAAGAATTCTTGTGGATATGTCTCTGCCTGTGACATCGACAACATTTGGAAGGACAGACGCAGAGCAAAACGCTGAGCAGACAACACAACAATCCGCTGAGGAAGAGTGCGGGGCCCATGAGGCGCAGCGCATAAGTTTGGAAGCCCTTATCTCCGGTTCCAAGCCCCGAGAGTATAAGGCCGAAGGCGGAGGTCCCCAGTCCGACGTAGAGCAACGTGTTGGCAGCTTGGAATACACCCCCTGCGTAGCTCCGGCCATTCAAACTGCTTCCTCCGAAAGACGAGTCGTTGATCTGAACAGACAAATGACATTAATTAACAAATGTTTGTGACAATGGCCCATTCACATGTCAGTGCCAATCCTTTATATTGTACGTTCTATATATTACGAGACACTTGGAGAGTTAAGGAAAATTCAAACGTTTATTAATACTAGTATATGTATATTAAGAATTGGGTGGCCTAGAACCTCTCCAAATGGAGAACTATGGAAGTTATCTAGCCAAACAGATATAAATATGGATACAAGAAAACGAAAATTTAGATGGATTGGTCACACGCTGAGGAAGGATGATGAACAGCCATGAAATGTTGCGCTTCAGTGGAATCCTCAAGGAAAGAGAGCAAGGGAGAGACCAAGAAACAGATGGAGGAGATCCACTCTGAGAGAAGCTGGAAGAAATTGGAATGAGTTGAGGTATTTAGCGGCGGACCGGGACAAATGGAAAAGCCTGTAGACGGCTTATGCCCCTCATGGAACTACAGAATATATTATTATTATTATTATTGTTACAGTTGGATAGTTGCCAAGATGTAACATCTGGAGGCAGCAGTTTAGTCCGAAGTTAACATACTCCTCAACCACTCCACATGACGTCACAACCCTTCTTCACCTCTGCCGCCTTCACGGTCTGTTATAGGGATAGCTTTACTTTTACTTACTTTTAAGTTTTCATCTCCTGAGAGAGAAAATTATTCTACTCTGAAGAAGGAGGTGGCACGTCACACCGAAATGGTACCTATCTTCTAATATACAGCAAGTCACGGCCTATTTTTATCTCTTCCGCCGTCAGGTTTCTCTGAAAAGCATCTATTTTCCGGTCATATACGTATTTCTAGTACGTACCTTTCCAACTTCACCCTCTTCATATTGCCTCAGTCAAACAAACTCCGTGGTTTTTAGTCCGCAAGAAAAACTAAACCGACCGAGCGACCGCCGCTTATCGGCGAAGTTAGTGCCAACTTTAGTGGATAGAGGGTGTCGCGTGGTCAGCGGAACGCATCCCCACGGCCGTTAATTTCGGTTTTCTAGACCATAGCCGCTATTTCCTTGAAATAGCTCCTCAATTATCCTCACGAGGCTGAGTGGACCCCGTTCCAGACCCACTACTTCTCAGAAAATCTGGTAGCGCCGGGAATCGAACCCGGACCTCTGGATCTGTAGCCAGGAACTCTGATCACTAGACCACAGAAGCGGTCCCAAATTCCCTTCACAGTCTACATTACAAGGAAGATGAAATGACCCTGAAACGGACTCACCCTGTTCTTTCTCATCCATCTGCGGTGCGCCTCCGTAGCTTTGATGCGATGGTTGACGGCTGCCTCGGTAAGAGATGTCTTTCTCTCGCGGTCCTTCTCGTGCCATGCCGCCTTGCCCTGTGCAATGCGCAAACAATCATCATTTTGTGACGTGGTCCCTGTTTCAGAGCATAGACCTATCGACCACGCGGACAGCATTGGCAGCTTTTCATTATGTCTGAAATGCATCTGCTAATTTCATCACAGAATGGAACTAACTTCAGTTACTGATTCAATCTCGTTAAATAATACGAACAAGTCTAGCAAAGATAATTATTTTACGTCCATTTGTAGCAGTATAAAACTTCTGTTGACTAACTGATATCTCAATACGAGGCACTTATGTGAAGGCGGTGACAAAATGTATGACTAATTACGCCATACAAAAAACATTACTCTTCAGCCCCTTAAATGGACCCTAAAAGTTAACTGATGATTTCATATCGGTCATAAGAAATTAGCGTTTCCATTGATGAATAAATCTTTGAATTCAAAATAAGGAATCAATAGGGAAACAATATATTATTAAGAATTATTCACATACGTGTATATGTATCAAATTTATTCAGATCTTAAGCTTTCAAGGAGGTCATAATATCATTTTATGAAATACGAATGATCATTTTACTGTTAATGCATTACAAACCTTAATTTCCCAACAAATAATTCTATACAAATTCCATACATAACTTTTCTTATGAGCCCATTAGGCCTCACTCACATGTACCTCATATGTAAGATATAAAGCTATTAATTTCAACATTGTAAGCGACATTACATTTTCTAAACACACGACCAATTGATAGGTCTATGCTATACTGCTGCACAGAAGGAGCCAGTAGCTTCGACAAAATATTCTTTTGTTTTCTACAATAAAATTTTACAGTGAATATTCTGAAATACCTGAAACATAATTAGTTATTCTAAAGGCTTCTGACGATGGTAGATGACACAGACTTACTGGGTTTTTGCACTTTTTCCATCGTTCGGAATTCTAGGTAATAGAGGACACGACGTTTCGGAAATTGGATGTGTTTCTGTCTTCAGGCGAGAAAGGAAGAAACCTACTCAGTTGGGCCCCTTAGAAAGAGCTAATATCAGTCACTGAGTAGGTGTTTTTCTTTCTCACCTGAAGACGGAAACACATCCAATTTCCGAAACGTGTCTTCTATTACCTAGAATTCCGGACGATGGAAGAAGTCCAAAAATCCAATAATTCTGTATAATACTCGTAAGTTATATTCATTGAATATAAGTTTAAGTACAAGATCCATTTATAGGAAACCTATGAGATCCCACTTGAATCGAATTCAATCGACTGGCTAAGAAGATAATTATCTTACAAATAAGATATCTCTTAACGCCAAGGGCACAATTTTGCTATTCAATTCATTTGCCAGCTTAATAATGGAAGTTACATCCAACAGAAGAGGTTAAATATGCAAACTATAGGCCACATGCAAGGATTACTAGTTCCTATGGGACCAACAAATGAATTGTCAGCAAAGATTGTATCTCTTGCAATGAACTCCCTCGTGAAATTTGTTAAATAGAGTTCTGTCATTAAAAACAAAAATATACCTACACAGTACAAGAAACACTATGTACAACTCTACACTAAAACATACTATATGAAAAGTACAATACTACACTGCACACAACACTAACTAACAGCACGGAGCGAACCAATGCACGCCGCAATGTAACAGGAAAGGTATAGGTTATGTTTCAAATGCGGTAAAGTAAGTGTTCATAAGGGCCTCATAGTCTTCACCCCAGAGTAGGTCATGATTCTTTCCAAGAAGCAGTACTCTTATCTTGGATGTAACCGAGATTTCGGAGGAACTCTGTGAGTCCATCTTCAGCTTTGAAGAATAAGTTTAGCAGGCTTACTCTGCTTCCACCTCCTATATTTCGGCCATGAAGATGGAATTAGTACGTTCCTCCGAAATGTCGGTAATCTTCTACCAGATTGCATGGCGTCACATCACATATGACAGTATTTTTCCTAGTTACCGCTGAGAGAACCTCAAATCTCACGCGTTTTTTATCTTTCCTGCAGTCGGTGTTTAATGTGTAAGACTAACTTCCGGTTTTGAGTCCTCAACTTTTCTGCAAGCAGAGTGAACCCTCGAGAATTCGAACTAATTAAAGCAGACTTCAGTCTACAGCCACCTGCTCACGATGGTTCCTCGCTCGCGGATTTCTCTACCCTGAAGATGGAGGCATTACATTCCTCCGAAATGTCGGTTTACACAATATATACACGACGCCACATCATAGAAGACGGCATTCTTAAAAAAATACTTACTTTTCAAAGTTCCACAATCCCTACAAATATTGCACGGGTCAATCGTGATTGAAAAGCTACAGTCAAATTTTCAAATAAACAAATTTCAAATTATTGAGCTGTGTTATGAAATGCATTACATGAATGCTGTATGTAAAGAACTGAATATGTAAAAACAGTGAAAATTTTACATATAATCGTTATTCAGTGTAATCTTCTACTGTGTAAAACTTCATTTGCTGTTCTGACATCACCACCTGGATGGATCCCTCGACAGAGATGTCCTTACGAAACAATACTGGAAAGGTGTAATCCGTACCACATACAGAGTATCCATACAAGATCCTTGCAAAGTAAAGTCTGATTAAGGGCTTAAATGAACCCTGAGCAGCGAGGTCAGATTATCGTTATCGGTACTGTAATTTATTTATTTTCTTCTCAGGAAGAATTTTAAAAAAATTGCCTGACGTATCATCAAAGATTCGCACCGCCGCCATGTTTTTGAACATTTAGAAACAATAAGGAATACATAACATGTTAGCATGTGTATGACTTGCCTCCATAGCAAATTTCACATTAGTTCATGCAGCCCCTATTTTGTTTTCGAACATTTTACAAAATAATAACTTCAGCAGAAGTTCACACTTCTCAAATACCTGACACTTTGCAGAATCTCAGGATTGTACATTTAGTGGTGCAAATATCGTTCCCAACTAATAAATTCGTACCTCCATCATGTTAGTATCATTCTCTGAAAGAAATACGAGTTTGGGATAGTCTTGAATGACGTAATGTCTTTACTAAATTTCATCAATATCAGTCAGACAGTTCTCGAGCTGAAACATATGAACTGACGGGAAGCTGGACAGGACACCTCCTATATCCACTCACAGTGTACATCGTACAAAGAATGTGTAATGAGGAAAGAAAATTGAAAGGTAAAAGTTCAAGAAGATGTTCCTTCTAAAAGCCATTTCTACCACTATCTGTGCAGAGCGCAGCTCAGCGACTCTCAGCTTCGGTCACAGTGGCAACATGCGGCCACAAGTAATTTATCGTCCGGCTACCAGCTGTCTCCATGGATAACAAGTTAAGTTTTTCCCCAGTCGTGAGAAGAATTCTGTTCGTGTCTTCTGCAAAATTCATTGCCTATATTTCTGCGTAAATTGTGGGTCTGTGCTAAACATCTACAATCCTTCACCTACATTTACTGAAAAATAAATTCATTCATTCATCTGTAATCTGTAAAGACGACAGGTCCACAGTCTCTTCCAAAACAGTTCCTCCACTTAATGCGATCGAGAGCTTTCTCCTTCAAATGAAAATATTCTCTTCTGTCCCCAAGGTCATCCAGCATCTTCTTACGTCTTCTTTCTCGTCTTCTGGTCACTTCTATCCGCCCCTCTATCTTTCCTTAAATAACTTCTTTTAGAAGGCAGTTACTGCGTAAGATATGACCAATCCAATTAGCCTTCCGTTTTGGAGCTTCGTGTGAAAAATAAATACTGTAACAAATTTATGGAACAAAAAAAAAATTTCTTCCAGTAAGTATGTTCCCGTTTCCTGGGACTTCAGATACTCATAGCGGTGGTTATGAAGAGTTCTACTTTATCGGATATAATGCCGTAGAGACCGTTGAAAGCCAACAGCCGTTTCGGAGGAATATATTTCCCCCACCTTAATTGGTCGAGGAGAAAGCCAAGCCAGAAACCAGCATAAAGCAGACGACAAGCAGATACTGCTTACACTTCTGACTTGAAGATGGAGGCAACATATTCCTCCGAAATAATTGTTGACTTTCAATGGAATACGGGGCGTTGTATCCCAATTAATAAATTTCTTAATTAAGGTCACAGTTCCCTCATACTTTGCTTTGAGTTAAAAACTAATTACTTACTTACTCATGGAGCTGAACCCTTCTGGAGGAGCCGCCAATTCTGCAGCTACTCAAGAATTTCCCTGCATTTTATGGAACCCGAAGGTTTATTCCAGTGTTCCAAAGAACCCTCCACTGGTCCTTATCCGGAGCCAGATGAATCCAATCCATACCATCCCATCCTATCTCTCTAAGATCCATTTTAATATTGTCCACCATCTACGCCTTGGTCTTCTCAGTGGTCTCCTTCCTTCTGGCTTTCCCACCAATATCCTATACGCATTCCTCGTCCCCCATTCGTGCTACATGCCCTGCCCACTTCATCCTCCTCGACTTGATCATTCTAATTATACTTGGAGAAGAGTACAAGTTATGAAGCTCCTCATTATGCAGTTTTAAAAACTAATTAACAATCTTATTTACTAGATTTTTGTGTGATAAAGCGTTATGTTTCAAATTACTTGGCAACAGAATGCGTTTCTAGCATCTGAACACGTGTACAGAAAACTATTGCTTGACAAACTGTCCTAGTCGACTGTGACAGGTTAGAACGAGTTATATCGAAATATAATCGATCCAAATTTTCTTATTCTCTGCAACAGGTTATATCTGAAGTGGATTTAGGACAATGTTTTGTTCCAGCTGTTCAGACATTCTAGCAAGAATATTGCTTTGAGATGAGACACTAAAAGGACGTCTAAAATAAATACTGAACTTGCAGAGAGCAGTTTGACGACAGAGGCTCTAGTACAGAATGTCCGGATGAAAGGTATCCAAAATAAAATAATTATATCTCAGAAAGCTTTTATTAAACACATACATTAATGGGTTACACCACTATAAAGGGAAACTATCAAAGTTTTTTCTGCGTATATAACTTTCTCAATAAATTTCAACGTCGGCTCCCTTGGT